CTGTTTCCCCTTTAATCCCCTTGAGCTGGCACCCCGCGGGTTGAGGTAGTAGATTGTATAGTTGGAGGGTCACACCCCCGTCTCGGAGATAACTATACAGTCTACTGTCTTCCTCGCGGGGCGCGCGCCCGCCGCCGGAGCACGGGGTCCCCCCATGGGCTTTGGAGATGGGGGGGGGGGGTCTGGAGCATCCCTTTCCCTATCCCAGTATCCCTAGGATCCAGTTGGATGTTGAGAATGGGGGGGTGGTGTTTGGAGCATCCTTTCCCCTATCCCAGTATCCCTAGGATCCAGTTGGATGTTGAGAAATGGGGGTGGGGGGGCTTTGGAGCATCCTTTCCCCTACCCCAGTATCCTTAGGATCCAGTTGGATGTTGAGAATGGGGGGGGGTGGTGTTTGGAGCATCCTTTCCCCTACCCCAGTATCCGTAGGATCCAGTTGAATGTTGAGAATGGGGGTAGTTGGAGCATCCTTTTCCCTACATCAGTATCCTTAGGATCCAGTTGGATGTTGAGAAGGGGGATGGTTTGGATGGGGGTGGTTGGAGCATCCTTTCTCCTATCCCAGTATCCCTAGGATCCAGTTGGATGTTGAGAAGGGGGGGGGTGTTTGGAGCATCCTTTCCCCTATCCCAGTATCCCTAGGATCCAGTTGGATGTTGAGAATGAGGGGGGGTGGTGTTTGGAGCATCCTTTCCCCTATCCCAGTATCCCTAGGATCCAGTTGGATGTTGAGAAATGGGGGGGGCTTTGGAGCATCCTTTCCTCTACCCCAGTATCCCTAGGATCCAGTTGGATGTTGAGAAGAGGGGTGGTGGTGTTTGGAGCATCCTTTCTCCTATCCCAGTATCCCTAGGATCCAGTTGGATGTTGAGAAGGGGGGGGGTGGTGTTTGGAGCATCCTTTCCCCTACCCCAGTATCCCTAGGATCCAGTTGGATGTTGAGAATGGGGGGGGTGGTGTTTGGAGCATCCTTTCCCCTACCCCAGTATCCCTAGGATCCAGTTGGATGTTGAGAATGGGGGGGGTGGCTTTGGAGCATCCTTTCCCCTACCCCAGTATCCCTAGGATCCAGTTGGATGTTGAGAATGGGGGTGGTGTTTGGAGCATCCTTTCCCCTACCCCAGTATCCCTAGGATCCAGTTGGATGTTAAGAATGGGGGAGGTTGGAGCATCCTTTCCCCTATCCCAGTATCCCTAGGATCCAGTTGGATGTTGAGAATGGGGGTGGTGTTTGGAGCATCCTTTCCCCTACCCCAGTATCCCTAGGATCCAGTTGGATGTTGAGAATGGGGGGGGTTGGAGCATCCTTTCCCCTATCCCAGTATCCCCAGAGGGTGATGATGGGGGTGGTTTGGATGTGGGGGGGGTGGGCTCTGAAGCACCCCTACCTCAGTATCCCAAGAGGTTGATGATGGGGGGGGGGGTGTAAATGGAGAGGGGGGTGTTGTGGGGGGGTGCATAATGTGGCACTGGGGGGGTTGCCTCAAACCCCCCCCCCATCTTGTTTTGGGTCTGTATGGCCCAAACTGGGGAGAGGGTGTGTTATTGAGGCGTCCCATAAGGCTCTATGGGTATCCCTGACGTTGATCCCTATATGTGTGTGTCCCCATCCCAGAACACAGCGGGACAACGGGAGAGACCCCCCCTCCCGGTCCCCACCGGACATTGGTGATGTTGGAACCGACGCCGACCCCCCCAGATCCTCCTTCGGGAGGAGCCCCCCAAATGCCCACTCGCCCCCCCCAACCCCCTGACCATGAAGAGGGGGGACCCGGGCGACCCCCCCAAGATGCTGAAGCCACTCAAATGGAGCTGTCACCCGCTCCCACCATCAGTAAGTCCTTGGGTTTAGGGGGCAGATGCCTGGGTTTTGGGGGTGTCCTCTATTGGGAGGGGGTCTCTTTACATTGGGGGGGTCTCTATTAATGCATCCCCCCCTGTTTTCCCCCTTAGCATCACTGTCCCCGGAGCGAGCGGAGGACTCGGATGCTCTGACAGCCGTGAGCAGCCAACTGGAGGGATCCCCCATGGACACCTCCAGTTTGGCTTCTTGTACCTTGGAAGAGTCAGGGGGGGCCCCCCCTCCTCCAGCAGCCCCCCAAAACCCCCCCGGCACCCCCCAAGGACCCCCCCCGGCTCCCCCTGATGCTGCTCAGCCTCCTGATGACAGGTAAAGAGCCCTTCTATAGGATGTAAAGGGGGGGGTTATGGGGTTGGGGTGCCCCATAGCTGATGTTGTGTCCCCCCCCGAACCTCATCCCCAAGCTCGCCCCCGGCCTCGTCCTCGGAGAGTTCTTCCACCCGGGATTCAGCCGTGGCCATATCGGGAGCTGATTCCCGAGGGATCCTGGAGGAGCCACTGCCATCCACCAGCAGTGAGGAGGAGGACCCCCTGGCCGGTCAGTGCCCCCCCACATCCCATACACATCCCATTGTATCCCATAGGGATCAGCCTGCCGGAAGGGGTGGATCCTGTGCCCCCCCATCCCATGGCACATCCCATGTGTATCCTATAGGGATCAGCCTGCCGGAAGGGGTGGATCCTGTGCCCCCCCACATCCCATACACATCCCATTGTATCCCATAGGGATCAGCCTGCCGGAAGGGGTGGATCCTGTGCCCCCCCATCCCATGGCACATCCCATTGTATCCCATAGGGATCAGCCTGCCGGAAGGGGTGGATCCTGTGCCCCCCCATCCCATGGCACATCCCATTGTATCCCATAGGGATCAGCCTGCCGGAAGGGGTGGATCCTGTGCCCCCCCACATCCCATACACATCCCATTGTATCCCATAGGGATCAGCCTGCCGGAAGGGGTGGATCCTGTGCCCCCCCATCCCATGGCACATCCCATTGTATCCCATAGGAATCAGCCTGCCGGAAGGGGTGGATCCTGTGCCCCCCCTCATTCCATGGCACATCCCATTGTATCCCATAGGGATCAGCCTGCCGGAAGGGGTGGATCCTGTGCCCCCCCATCCCATGGCACATCCCATGTGTATCCCATAGGGATCAGCCTGCCGGAAGGGGCGGATCCTGTGCCCCCCCATCCCATGGCACATCCCATGTGTATCCCATAGGGATCAGCCTGCCGGAAGGGGTGGATCCTGTGCCCCCCCATCCCATGGCACATCCCATGTGTATCCCATAGGGATCAGCCTGCCGGAAGGGGTGGATCCTGTGCCCCCCATCCCATGGCACATCCCATTGTATCCCATAGGGATCAGCCTGCCGGAAGGGGTGGATCCTGTGCCCCCCCATCCCATGGCACATCCCATTGTATCCCATAGGGATCAGCCTGCCGGAAGGGGTGGATCCTGTGCCCCCCCATCCCATGCACATCCCATTGTATCCCATAGGGCTCAGCCTGCCGGAAGGGGTGGATCCTGTGCCCCCCCACATCCCATACACATCCCATTGTATCCCATAGGGATCAGCCTGCCGGAAGGCGTGGATCCTGTGCCCCCCCACATCCCATACACATCCCATTGTATCCCATAGGGATCAGCCTGCCGGAAGGGGTGGATCCATCGTTCCTGGCGGCGCTGCCGGATGACATCCGCCGGGAAGTGCTGCAGAACCAGCTGGGGATCCGCCCCCCCGCCCGGGCCCCGCCCACCCCAAGCCCCGCCCCCCCGGTCGTGGCCAATCCCGGCCTGACCGAGGTCAGCCCCGAGTTCCTGGCGGCGCTGCCCCCTGCCATACAGGAGGAGGTGGGCGGGGCCTCGGGAAAAGGGGCGGGGATGGGGGGAGCATTGAAGGGGATTGGTGGATGTAGGGGGTGGGGTCTGAGGGAGGGGCGTGGTTAAAGGGAAGGGGCAGGACTACGTTAGGAGCATGAAAAGGGATTGGTGGGTGCGGAGGGGTGTGGCCAGTGGGAATGGGTGGGGCTTCATGTAGGGGTTGGGGCTTAAATAAGGGTGGGTTTAATAAAGGTGAGGATAAGGGGGTGTGGCCTGTTCTAGGGGGGTGGAGCTTAAATGAGGGCTTATCCAAAGAGGTGGAGCTTATATAAAGGGGTGGGGCTTAAAGGGGGTGGAGCTTATTCAAAGGGGTGGGGCTTAAGGGGCACTTATACAAAAAGGTGGCGCTTATACAAAGAGGCGGGGCTTGTGTTAAAGGATGGGGCTTAATGAAGAGGATGGAGCTTATTTAAAGGAATGGGGCTTGTGTTAAAGGATGGGGCTTAAATAGAGTGGGGTTTACAAAGGGGCGGGGCTTACGTTAAAGAGTGGGACTTAAAGGGGTGGAGCATATTCAAAGAGGCGGGGCTTTAATAAAAGGGGTGGAGCTTATGCAAGAGGTTGGGGCTTGTTTGAAGAGGCAGAGCTTGTATGAAGGAGGGGCTTAAAGGGGGTGGAGCTTGTTTGAAGCAGCGGGGAGGGGAAATAGGGCATGTCCTTAGCTCCTCCCCCTGTAGGCGTGGCCTATTGGAGGCGTGGCCTATGGAGGACCCTATCTTGACCCCCCTTTTTCCTGCCGCAGGTGCTGGCCCAGCAGCGCGCGGAGCAGCAGCGCCGGGAGCTGGCGCAGGCCACGAGCTCGGACGCTCCCATGGACCCGGTGACGTTCATCCAGACGCTGCCGTCGGAGCTGCGGCGCTCGGTGCTGGAGGACATGGAGGACAGCGTCCTGGCCGTCATGCCCCCGGACATCGCCGCCGAGGCCCAGGCCCTGCGCCGCGAGCAGGAGGCCCGCCAGCGCCAGCTCATGCACGAGAGGCTCTTCGGCCACTCCAGCACCTCCGCGCTCTCCGCCATCCTGCGCAGCCCCGGTGAGCGCCTCCCCGTTCCCTTCCCACTGTTCCCCCTCCTATTCCCTCTACTGTTCTGACCCATTCCCCCCCCATTCCCTTTCCCATTCCCCCTCCTATTCCCCTCTTATTTCCCCTCCCATTCGCCCTCCTATTCCCCTCCCATTCACCCTCCTATTCCCATTCCCCGCCCATTCCCTTCCTATTCCCTCTACTATTCTGCCCCATTCCCCCTCCTATGCCCCTCTTATTCCCCCTCCTATTCCCCTCCCATTCCCCTGCCATTCTTTCTCCTATTCCCCCCATTCCCCTCCCTATTCCCCCCTGTTCCTCTCTATTCCTCTTCTATTCCCTCTACTATTCTGCCCTATTCCCCCTCCCATTCCCCCCCATTTCCCCTCCTATTCCTCTCCCATTCCCCCTCCTATTCCCTCTCCTATTCCCCTCCCATTCTCTCTCCTATTCCCCATTTGCCCTCCTATTCCCTCTCCATTCCATCTACTATTCTGCCCCATTCTCCCTCCCACCCCCCTCCCATATCCCCCTGTTCCAAATCCCCCCAATCCCCTCATTCCCATTTCCCCCCAATCCCATTCCACCCCATTCCCCAAATTCCTGTTCCCAGTTCCCCCATTCCCATTCCCCAAATTCCTATTCCCAATTTCCCCATTCTCCCCCATTCCCAATCCCCCCCATTCCCGTTCCCCCCATTCCTGTTCCCAATTCCCCCATTCCCGTTCCAGTTCCCATTGCCCCCCATTCCCATTCCCATTCCCATTCCCATTCCCATTCCCACTGACTGCCGTGTCCCCGCAGCCTTCACGAGCCGCCTGAGCGGGAGCCGGGGGGTGCAGTACACGCGCCTGGCGGTGCAGCGCGGGGGCACCTTCCACATGGGGGGCACCGCCGGGCACAGCAGGTACGGGGGGGGGCACCAAACTGGGGCTGGGTTGGAACCGGGTTTGGGCTGGGTTTGAACTGGGTTTGAGCTGGGTTTGAACTGGGTTTGAACTGGGTTTGAACTGGGTTTGAGCTGGGTTTGAACTGGGTTTGAGCTGGGTTTGAACTGGGTTTGAGCTGGGTTTGAACTGGGTTTGAGCTGGGTTTGAACTGGGTTTGAACTGGGTTTGAACTGGGTTTGAACTGGGTTTGAACCGGATTTGGGCTGGGTTTGAACCGGGTTTGATCTGGGTTGGAACCGGATTTGGGCTGGGTTTGAACCGGGTTTGATCTGGGTTGGAACCGGGTTTGGGCTGGGTTTGAACCGGATTTGGGCTGGGTTTGAACCGGATTTGGGCTGGGTTTGAACCTGGTTTGGGCCTTTTTATAGCCTGATTTGAGCTTGATTTGGTCCTGATTTGAAGCTGATTTGATCTGGGTTTGAACCTGATTTAGGCCTTTTTATAGACTGATTTGAACTTGATTTGAACCTGGTTTGATCCCAATTTGATCCTGATTTGAATCTTGTTTGGTCTGGATTTGAACCTGGTTTGATCTGGGTTTGATCCTGATTTGAACCTGGTTTGGTCTGGGTTTGATCCTGCTTTGAGCTGGGTTTGGTCCTGATTTGAGCTGGGTTTGATCCTGGTTTGATCCTGATTTGAAGCTGGTTTGGTCTGAGTTTGAACCTGCTTTGAGCTGGGTTTGATCCTGGTTTGAAGCTGGTTTGAGCCAGGTTTGATCCTGATCTGAACCTGGTTTGGTCTGGGTTTGATCCTGGTTTGAAACTGATTTGAACTGGGTTTGGTCCTGGTTTGATCCTGATTTGAAGCTGATTTGAGCCGGGTTTTGAGCCAGGTTTGATCCTGATTTGAACCTGGTTTGATCTGGGTTTGATCCTGATTTGAGCCGGGTTTGAGCTGGGTTTGAGCCGGGTTTGAGCTGGGTTTGAGCTGGATTTGAGCTGGGTTTGATCCTGGCTTGATCCTGATTTGAAGCTGGTTTGAGCCAGGTTTGAGCTGGGTTTGATGCTGATTTGAAGCTGATTTGAGCTGGGTTTGATCCTGCTTTGAGCCGGGTTTGATCCTGATTTGAAGCTGATTTGAGCCGGGTTTGAGCCGGGTTTGAGCCTGGTTTGCTCCAGCTTTGCTCCAGCTTTGCTCCAGCCTCAATCCCTCTTCCCATCCCCCCCCCAGACCCTCAACCGGCACCGTGGACAACCTCCTCCGCCTGCGCGGCCGCCTGCTCCTGGACCACGAAGCCCTCTCGTGCCTCCTGGTGCTGCTCTTTGTGGACGAGCCCAAGCTCAACACGAGCCGCCTGCACCGCGTCCTGCGCAACCTCTGCTACCACGCAGCCACGCGGGGCTGGGTCGTGCGCAGCCTCCTCTCCATCCTGCAGCGCAGCAGCGAGAGCGAGCTCTGCCTCGAGGCCCCCCGTGCCCCCCCGGCACCGGAGGAGCGCCCGCGCCGCGCACGGGCCCCCCCAACCACCACCGGTACCGGCACCACCACCACCGGTACCGAACCCCGCGCTCTGGACCTCATGCACCGCGTGGAAGCGCGCAGCTCCGGGCAGCTCTCCTGGCTTTCCGTCTCCATGGATGCGGCTTTGGGATGCAGGACCAACATCTTCCAGATCCAAAGGATGCCCGGCAGGAAGCACACGGAGAAACACAGTGGGGGGGGGAGTGGGGGGGCCGCCGCCGGCTCTGCCGTTCACATCCACCCCCAGGCAGCGCCCGTCGTGTGCCGGCACGTGCTGGACACCCTCATCCAGCTGGCCAAGGTACATGGAGAGAGGAGGGGGGTTTGGGGGGTGATGGGTCCCTGATGGGGTTGGGGGGGTCTGGGGGGCAGAAAGGGTCCTTGATGGGGCTTGGGGGGTCTGGGGCATGGGATGGGGAGCATGAAGGGTTCCTAATGGGGTTGGGGGTTCTGGGATGCATAAAGCGTCCGTGATGGGGTTAGGGGGATCTGGGGGGCATGAAGTGTCTCTGATGGGGTTGGGGGGGTCCAGGGCATGGTATGGGGGGCATGAAGGGTCCCTGATGGGGTTGGGGGGGTCTGGGGCATGGTATGGGTTGGATAAATTGCCCCTGATGGGGTTAGGGGGGTCTGGGGGGCATGAAGTGTCCCTGATGGGGTTGGGGGGGTCCAGGGCATGGAATAGGGTGGATAAAGGGTCCCTGATGGGGTTGGGGGAGTCTGGGGCATGGTATGGGGGGTATGAAGGGTCCTTGGTGGGGTTGGGGGTGTCCAGGGCATGGGATGGGGTGGATAAAGGGTCCCTAATGGAGTTGGGTGGGTCTGGGGCATGGTATGGGGGGCATGAAGGGTCCCTAATGGAGTTGGGTGGGTCTGGGATGTGTTATGGGGGGCATGAAGGGTCCTTGATGAGGTTGGGGTGGTCCAAGGCATGGGATGGGGGGCATAAAGGGTCCCTGATGGGGTTGGGGGAGTCCAGGGCATGGTATGGGGTGCATGAAGGGTCCCTGATGGGGTTAGGGGGGTCCAGGGCATGGTATGGGGTGGATAAAGGGTCCCTGATGGGGTTGGGGGGGTCTGGGGCATGGTATGTGGGGCACAAAGGGTCCTTGATGGGGTTGAGGGTGTCTGGGATGTGTTATGGAGTATATGAAGGGTCCCTGATAGAGTTGGGGACATCTGGGGCGTGTTATGGGGTGCATTAAGGGTCCTTCATGGGGTTGGGAGTGTCTGGGGTATGGTATGGGGTGTACAAAGGGTCCTTGATGGGGCTGGGGAGAGGTCTGGGGCACTCTTTAGGTGTGGACAGTCCCCAAAGCAGAAGTGGGGTCCCCCAAACCCCACACCGGGCTGCTTGGGGGGTGCCTGGGGGGGGGGTCACCAACCCCTTGACCCCCCCCCCACCCCCCCTTTTCCAGGTCTTTCCCAGCCACTTCACCCAGCAGCGGGGCCGAGATCCCAGCACGGAGCCGGAGCGGGAACGCGGCCCCCCCAAATCCGGTGGCAGCCCCTGCCCTCCCCCCCCTCCCCCTCCTCCTCCTCCTCCTCCTCCTCCCCCTCTTCCCCCCTCCCTTCCCAAACCCCTCCTGCCCCCCCACCCCCTCCCCCTCCTTCCGGAGCCCCTCCTCCTCCTCCTCCCCCCCCCCCCCCCCCTTCCGGCAGCCTTTCCACCGATTTCTGGGACCTCTTGGTGAAGCTGGATAACATGAACGTGAGCCGCAAAGGGAAGAGCTCGGCCAAAACGGGCGCCGGGGGGGGCGGCCCGGAGCCCGAGGCCACGGGGATGGGCTTGGAAGCGTCTCCCTTAGGGCAGCTCATGAACATGCTGTCCCACGGCGTCATCCGCCGCAGCGCCCTCCTCACCGAGAAGCTGCTCCGGCTCCTGTCCCTCATCTCCATCGCTCTGCCCGAAGGTGGGAAAGGGGCGGAGGGGGGGGCAGCAGCACCCCAAAGCGCCCCCGCCCCAACGGGAGCCGCCGCGGCTCCGGGGAGCCCATCGGGACAGAGCGGGAACGCCGGGAGTGCTGCGGCGGGAGGGGGAGCTGCGGCTGGGGGTGAGTGGGGACGGGGGTGGGGATGGAGGGATGGGAATGGGGATATGGATGGGGATGGAGGGATGTGGATGGGAATGGGGATGGAGAGATGGGAATGGGGACATGGATGGGGATGGAAGAATGGGAATGGGGATAGGGATGGGGATGGGAATGGGAATGGGGATGGGAATGGGGATGGGAATGGGAATGGGGATATGGATGGGGATGGGAATGGGAATGGGGATATGGATGGGGATGGGAATGGGAATGGGGATATGGATGGGGATGGGAATGGGAATGGGGATATGGGAATGGGGATGGAGAATGGGAATGGGGATATGGATGGGGATGGAAGAATGGGAATGGGGATATGGATGGGGATGGAAGAATGGGAATGGGGATATGGATGGGGATGGAAGAATGGGAATGGGGATATGGATGGGGATGGAGGAATGGGAATGGGAATATGGGTGGGGATGGAGGGATGTGGATGGGGATATAGATGGGGATGGAAGAATGGGGATATGGATGGGGACAGAGGAACGGGAATGGGATATGGATGGGAATGCAGGTATGGGGATATGGATGGGGATGGGGATAGGGATAGGTATGGGGATATGGATGGGGATGGAGGAACGGGAATGGGGATATGGATGGGGATGGAGGGATGGGAATGGGGATATGGATAGAAATAGAGGAATAGGAATGGGGATATGGATGGGGATGGAGGAACGGGAATGGGGATATGGATAGGAATGGAGGGATGGGAATGGGGATATGGATGGGGATGGAGGGATGGGAATGGGGATATGGTTGTGGATATGGGTGGGGATGGAGGAATGTGGATGGGGATAAGAATGGGGATATGGTTGGGGATGGAGGGACGTGGATGAGGGTATGGGGCTAAGGGTATGGATTTGGGTGGAGGTGCGGTGATGGGGACATGGAAGGGGATAAGGGGACATGAGACCAGGGACAGGGACATGAGTGGGAATGGGGACAGAGGAGTTAGGGACAGGGGACAGGGATGGGGATGGAGACGTGAATGGACATTGGGACAGGGCTGGGGACCAGGACACGGGTATGGACGGGGACAGGGGGATGCAGGCAGAGGTGCCCCCATCCCCTCACACCCCCCCTTGTCCCCAGCCTCCTCCAAGAGCTCCAAGTCACCAGCGAAGGGCCCCGAGAGCAGCCCTGACCCCCGCATGGCGGCCACGGGGCTGACCGAGAGCCAGCTCCAGCTCTCAGTGGAGGTGAGCACCCCCCAGGACCACCACCAAGGGCCCCCCCTTTCTCCCTGTCACATCCCCCCCACCCCATCCCCATCCCCTGTGCCCCACAGGTGCTGACGTCCCACTCGTGCTCTGAGGAAGGCCTGGAGGATGCGGCCAATGTCCTGCTCCAGCTCTCGCGCGGTGACGCCGGCACCAGGGACACGGTTCTGCGCCTGCTCCTCACCGGTGCCCGGCACCTCGGGGCCACCCTGTGCCGCCAGATCGGTGAGGCCCTGCCCATGGTGGTGGTGGTGGTGATGGTGGTGGTTATGGTGGTGGTGCTGGCGGTGGTGGTGATGGTGGTGGTGGTGATGGTGGTGGTGGTGATGGTGGTGATGATGGTGGTGGTGGTGGTGGTGCTGGTGATGATGGTGATGGTGGAGGTGGTGGTGGTGATGGTGATGGTGATGGTGGTGATGGTGGTGGTGGTGGTGGTGGTGATGGTGGTGATGGTGGTGGTGATGGTGGTGATGGTGGTGATGATGGTGGTGGTGGTGGTGGTGCTGGTGATGATGGTGATGGTGGAGGTGGTGGTGGTGATGGTGATGATGATGGTGGTGGTGGTGATGGTGGTGGAGGTGGTGGTGGTGATGGTGGTGGTGATGATGGTGGTGGTGGTGGTGGTGGTGATGGTGGTGGTGGTGGTGGTGGTGATGGTGGTGATGGTGGTGGTGATGATGGTGATGGTGGTGATGGTGGTGGTGATGATGGTGATGGTGATGATGGTGGTGGTGGTGGTGGTGGTGATGATGGTGATGGTGGTGATGGTGGTGGTGATGGTGGTGGTGGTGGTGGTGGTGGTGGTGATGGTGGTGGTGATGGTGGTGGTGGTGATGATGGTGATGGTGGTGATGGTGGTGGTGATGATGGTGGTGGTGCTGGTGCTGGTGATGGTGATGGTGGCAGTGGTGGTGCTGGTGGTGGTTACCATTGGGTGTCCCAGCCCGGTGACACCTTGCCGCTGTGCCCGGTGCAGGGACGCTGCTGGCTGAGCTAAGGGAGTACAACCTGGAGCAGCAGAGGAGGGTGCAGAGCGAGGCCCCGTCCCCCGAGGGGCTCCCCGAGGAGCAGCCCCCCAGCGCCAAGCTCAAGGGCAAGATGCAGAGCCGGTGAGATGGGGACACCCAGAGCCACACTGCGCACTGTGGGCCCTGCTGGTGACTCTAGTGGGTGCTGTTCACCCCTGGCCCTAATGAGGATGACACTTGGCCATACTGTTAACCCATGGCCCTAGTGATGCCAACCCTCATTGCTCCTGTTAACCCATGTCCTTACTGAGGGCAGTCCTCATTGCTCCTGTTAACCCCTGGCCCTAATGAGGATGGCACTTGGCCATACTGTTAACCTATGGCCCTAGTGATGCCAACCCTCATTGCTCCTGTTAACCCATGGCCCTACTGAGGACAGCCCTTGTCCCTTCTCTTAACCCTTGTCCCTGTTGTTAACCCTTGTCCCTACTGATGACAACATTGTTCCTTCTGTTAACCCATGTCCCTACTGATGCCAACCCTTGTTCTTGCCATTAACCCATGTCCCTACTGATGACAACCTTGTTTCTCCTGTTAACCCATGTCCCTACTGATGACGACCTTGTTCCTCCTGTTACCCCTTGCCCCTACTGATGCCAGTGTTGTTCCTCCTCTTAACCCTTGCCCCTACTGGTGATGACCTTGTTCCTCCCATTAACCCTTGCTCCTACTGATGACAACCTTGTTCCTACTGATGGCCTTCATCCTTGTTGTTAACCCTTGTCCCTACTGATGACAACCTTGTTCCTACTGATGACCTTCATCCCTATTGTTAACCTTTGTCCATACTGATGCCAACCTTGTTCCTCCTGTTACCCTTACCCCAACTGATGGCCTTCATCCCTATTGTTAACCCTTGTCCTGTTGCCGACAACCTTGTTCCTCCTGTTAACCCATGTCCCTACTGACGACAACCTTGTTCCTACTGACGGCCTTCATCCCTATTGTTAACCCTTGTCCCTACTGATGCCAACCCTGTTCCTCCCATTACCCCTTGTCCCTATTGTTAACCCTTGTCCCTACTGATGCCAACCTTGTTCCTCCCATTAACCCTTGTCCCTATTGTTAACCTTTGACCCTACTGATGCCAACCTTGTCCCTATTGTTAACCCTTGTCCCTACTGATGCCAACCTTGTCCCTATTGTTAACCCTTGTCCCTACTGATGACAGCCTTGTTCCTACTGATGCCCTTCATCCCTATTGTTAACCCTTGCCCCTACTGATGCCAACCTTATTCCTCCCATTACCCCTTGTCCCTATTGTTAACCTTTGACCCTACTGATGCCAACCCTGTTCCTCCCATTACCCCTTGCCCCTCCTGACACCCCCCCCCCCACTCTCTAACTCCCATCCCCCTCCCACCCCCAGGTTCGACACGGCCGAGAGCGTGGTGATCGTGGCCTCGCAGAAGCGGGCGCTGGGGGGCCGGGAGCTGCAGCTCCCCTCCATGTCTGTGCTCACATCCAAGAGCTCCACGCAGCGCTTCTTCCTCCGCGTGCTGCAGGTCATCATCCAGCTGCGCGACGACACGCGCCGCGCGCACAAGAAGGCCAAGCAGGCCGGGCGCCTGGGTGAGGATCCCTTCATTCACCCCCTTGCACCCCGCTTTGGGCACCCCTAATGTATCCTTGCCCCTCTGTGTCCCCCCCCAACCCGCAGGTGCTGGGGGCCTGGGGGCGGCTGGCAGCATCCAAGCGGCCGTCCGGCAGCTGGAGGCCGAGGCTGATGCCATCATACAAATGGTAGGTGAGGGGCAGAGCGCCCATGGGCACACATGGGTACCACGGCCGCCCTTCCTCACCCTGCTCCGCCGCCTCCTCTTCCTCCTTATGGTTCCTGCCTCTTTGCACTCGTCCTTTTCCTCTTTCTCTGCCTCCTCCTCCTCCTCATTCCCTCTTCCTCCTCCTCCTCCTCTGCTTCCTCTTTCTCTGCCTTCTTCCTCTTTTCTTCCTCCTCTTCCTCCTCTGCTTCCTCCCTCTCTTCCTTCTCATCCTCTTACCTCACTCTCCTCTTCCTGCTCCTTCTTCACCCTCCTTTCTTCACCTTCCTTTTCCTCCTCCTCCTCTTTCTCTGCCTCATCCTCTTCCTCCTCCTCCTCATTCCCTCTTCCTCTTCCTCCTCCTCTGCTTCCTCTTCCTCCTCTTTCTCTTCCTGCTTATTCTTTTCTTCCTCCTCTTCCTCCTCTGCCTCCTCCCTCTCTTCCTTCTCATCCTCTTCCCCCACTCTCCTCTTCCTGCTCCTTCTCTGCCTCCTTTCTTCACCCTCCTTTTCCTCCTCCTCCTCTTCCTCATCCTCCTGCATCCTCCTCCTCATTCCCTCTTCCTCTTCCTCCTCTGCTTCCTCTTCCTTCTCTTTCTCTGCCTTCTTATAGTTCTCTTTCTCCTCACCCTCCTCTTCCTCCTCTGCCTCCTCCCTCTCTTCCTTCTCATCCTCTTCCTCCTCCTTCTCTTTTCTTCCTCCTCATTCTCTCTCATTTCTCGTCTTCATTTTCTTTCTTCTCCTCTACTTCCTCTTCCTCCTTTTCCCCCTTTCCTCCTTCTTTTCCTCCTCATTCCTTTCCTCCTCATTCTCTTCTTTCACCATCGTCTTCCTTCTCTTCTTCCTCTTTCTCTTCCTCCTCATTCTCTTTCTCCTTCTCCCTCTTTTTCCTTTTCTTCCTCCTCTTCCCCCCCCTTTTCCTCCTCATTCCTCCTCCTTCTCTTCCTTCTTACCCTTTTCCTCCACCCTCCTCTTCCTCCTCCTCCTCTCCACCTTCCTCTCTTTCCTCCTGCTCTTCCTCCTCTTCCCCCCCTCTCACCCTTCCTCTTCCTCCCCCCTTTACCCTCCTCCTCCCATCCCATTCCTGCTTCTCTTCCCCTCCAAGCCCTTGGGGGGGGGGGGGTATTTGGGCTCTATGGGGGGTCCCGTCCCCCTAAACCTGCCCCTGTCCCCCCACAGTCGGAGGCCGGGCCTGCGGATGCTGCTCCCCGTCGGGATGAATCCCCCATGGATGTGGATCAGCCATCACCAGCCCCCCAGGACAACCCCTCCGTGGGTGAGAGACCCCCCAGTGCATCCCAGTGCCCCCCCAGTTCATCCCAGTGCCCTCCAGTGCACCTCAGTGCATCCCAGTGTCCCCCCAGTGCATCCCAGTGCCCCCCAGAGTGCCCCCCAGTGCACCTCAGTGCATCCCAGTGCCCCCCACAGTGCATCCTAGTCCCCCCAGTGCACCTCAGTGCCCCACAGTGCAATCCAGTGCCCCCCCCATGCTGCCCCAGTGTATCCCAGTGCTCCACAGTGCAACTCAGTGCCCCCCCGTGCATGCCATTGCCCCCCACAGTGCCTCCCAGTGCAACCCAGTGCCCCCCATTGCATCGCAGTGCAACCCAGTGCATCCCGGTGCCCCTCAATGCAAGGCAGTGCATCCCAGTTCCCCCTCAATGCATCCCAGTGCCCCCCCCCAGTGCATCCCAGTGCCCCCCTCCACAGCATCCCAGCGCCCCACAGTGCAACCCAATGCCCCCCTAATGGATCTCAGTGCATCCTATTGCCCCCTCCCCCCCACCAGTGCATCCCAATGCCCCAAACTCCCCATCCCAGCGGCCCCCACCCCCTGCCTGCCTCCATCCCAGCGCTCCTCCCATTGGATCCCACTTGGGAAGCGGCCCAAACTGGACCATGATTGGTGGACAGGGGGGTGGGGTGGGGGGGGAAGGATCCTGACCCCCATTCCCATAGGCTCGGAGGGGCCGGATCGGGATGAGCGCCCCCCGGATCTGCCCCTGCTGAGCGAGCAGCTCTGCCTGGATGAGCTCTGGGATATGCTGGGAGAGTGCCTCAAGGAGCTGGAGGAGTCCCATGACCAGCACGCTGTGCTCGGTGCGCCCATGGGGGGAGCTATGGGGTGAAAGGGGGGGGGGGCACAGGGCCCTTGGGGTACCCCCTGCACCCAGCATCCCATCCCAAGCAGGGTGATGGCCCTGCAGCATCCATGCCCCCCCCCTCCATGGGGTTGGGGTGCAGCTCATACCCCATATATCCACGCCCACTTAGTGATGGAGACCCTCTGGTACTTTAAGGGGTCCCCAAGGCTCCCCCCTCCCCTCCCACCATGGGAAGGGGTTTTGGGGGTATGGGAGGGGGATTTTGGGGGGGGGCGTTGGGGGGATGGGAAGGGGTTTAGAGGGGGTTTGGGGGTGTTTGGGGCTGTTGGAATGCATCCATCCCCAATACACACACCCAGCCCGGGGGCTCAGCCCCATCCAACAGCCTGTCCCGAGCAGGATGGTCCCCCATTTCCTGGGGTCTCCATTACTCCCCCTGTCTCTGTACCCCCCCCATTACCTCTCTGTCTCCCTGTACCCCCCCATTCCCATGGTCCTCATGATTCCCATTCCCCCCCCATCTCTCTGCCCCCCCCCATTCCCATGATCCCCATACCCCCCGTCTCTCTCCCCCCCATTCCCATGGTTCCCATTACCCCCCATCTCTCTGTCCCCCATTCCCATGGTCCCCCATTGCCCCTGCCACCCATGGTCCCCATTGCCCCCTTCCCCCATTCCCCCATTCCCCCCCATCTCTCTGCCCCATCATCCCTCTTCCATGTCCCCCCCATTCCCATGGTCCCCATTACCCCCCTGTCTCTCTCCCCCCCCATTCCCATGGTCCCCATTACCCCCATTCCCCCCCATCTCTCTACCCCCCATCATCCCCTCTCTCCATGTGCCCCCCCCATTCCCATGGTCCCCATTCCCCCCATTCCCCCCCATTCCCCCCCATCATCCCCTCTCTCCATGTGCCCCCCCATTCCCATTACCCCCATTCCCCCCATTCCCCCATTACCCCCCATCTCTCCTCACCCCCATTCCCATGGTCCCCATTCCCCCCCCATCATCCCCTCTCTCCATACCCCCCAGTTCTGCAGCCGGCCGTCGAAGCCTTCTTCCTGGTGCACGCCACGGAGCGGGAGAGCAAGCCCCCGGTGCGGGATACCCGGGAGAGCCAATTGGCCCACATCAAGGACGAGCCCCCCCCGCTGTCCCCCGCCCCCCTGACCCCCGCCACCCCCTCCTCCCTGGACCCCTTCTTCTCCCGCGAGCCCTCCTCCATGCACATCTCGGCCAGTTTGCCCCCCGACACCCAGAAGTTCCTGCGCTTCGCTGGTGAGCGGGGGGGGGGTGGGGTTGGGGGGGATGGGAGGGGGATGGGGGGGGTTTGGGGGTGATGGGAGGGGGTTTGGGGGTGATGGAAATGGGGTTGGGGGTGATGGGAGGGGGTTTGGGGGTGGTGGGATGGGGATTCGGGTGATGGGATGGGGGGGTTGATGGGAGAGGGATTGGGGTGATGGGAGGGGGATTGGGGGTGATGGGAGGGGGTTTGAGTGATGGGAGGGGGATTTGGGGTGATGGGAGGGGGTTTGGGGGTGATGGGAGGGGAATTGGGGGGGTTCAAGTGATGGGAAGGGGGTTGGGGTGATGGGAGGGGGATTGGGGGTGATGGGAGGGGGATTGGGGTTCATGGGAGGGGGATTTGGGGTGATGGGAAGGGAATTGAGGGGGTTCAAGTGATGGGAATGGGATTTGGGGTGATGGGAGAGGGATTTGGGAGGGGTTCGGGTGATGGGATGGGGATGGGGGGTGATGGGAGGAGGTTTGGGGGTGATGGGAGTGGGGTTTGGGGGGCATTTGGGGTGTTTGGGGCCTTGGGAAGTGGATTTGGGGCGCGATTGGGGCATTAGGAGAGGGTTTGGGGGGCGGTTGGAGGTAATGGGATGGGGCTTAGGGAAGATAAAAGAGGGGGGGGACCTTGTGCTCCAGAGCGGCTTGGGGAGGTGCCCCTTTGTCTCACTCCCCACTCATTCCCTATGCAAGAACCCCCCTTTTCGGGGTGTCCCCCCATTGCGGGGTCCCCCCCATAACCCCTCCATGTATTCCCCCCCCACCACCACCACCCCTGCCCCATAGAGACCCATAGGACGGTGCTGAACCAGATCCTGCGTCAATCCACGACCCACTTGGCCGATGGCCCCTTCGCCGTCCTGGTCGACTACATCCGAGTGCTGGACTTCGATGTGAAGCGCAAGTAGGAGGGCAGGGCCTTGAAATGGGGGGGGGAAATGGGTGAAATATAGAGGGGGGGTCCCCTAAAGCCTGGTTTTGGGGTGCCCCCCCCCCCCAAGGTACTTCCGTCAGGAGCTGGAGCGCTTGGATGAGGGCCTGCGCAAGGAGGACATGGCCGTGCACGTGCGGCGCGACCACGTCTTTGAGGACTCCTATAGGGAGCTGCATCGGAAGTCCCCCGAGGAGATGAAGAACAGGCTGTGAGTGCCCGAAATACACCCGAAATACAGCCAGAGACACCTGAAATACACCCAGAGACACCCAAATTCAGCCAGAGACGCCTAAAATCCACCCAGAGACACCCAAAATCCACCCAGAGACACCCAAAATCCAGCCAGAGACAGCCAAAATCCAATCCAAACCACCCCAAATCCGATCCAAACCACCTCAAATCCACCCAGAGACACCCCAAATCCACCCAGAGACACCCCCAAACCATCCCAAATCCACCCAGAGACACCCCAAATCCATCCAGAACCACCCCAAATCCAATCCAAACCACCCCAAATCCACCCAGACACCCCAAATCCACCCAGAACCCCCCAAACCACCCCAAATCCACCCAGAACCACCCCAAATCCAATCCAAACCCCCCCAAACCACCCCAGAACCACCCCAAGTCCAATCCAAACCACCCTAAATCCATCCAGAGACACCCCAAATCCACCCAGAACCCCCCAAACCACCCCAAATCCACCCAGAACCACTCCAAATCCAACCCAAACCACCCCAAATCCACCCAGAACCACTCCAAATCCAACCCAAACCACCCCAAATCCACCCAGAACCCAACCCAAACCACCCTAAATCCACCAGAACCACCCCAAACCCACCCAGAACCCCCCCAAACCACCCCAAACCCGCCCAGAACCCCCCCAAACCACCCTAAATCCACCCAGAACCACCCCAAATCCAATACAAACCACCCCAAATCCAGCCCAAACCACCCCAAACCCACCCAGAACCCCCCCCAAACCACCCCAAACCCACCCAGAACCACTCCAAATCCACCCCAAACCACCCCAAACCCACCCAGAACCACCCCAAATCCAACCCAAACCACCCTAAACCCACCCAGAACCCCCCCAAACCCACCCAAACCCGCCCAGAACCCCCCAACCACCCTAAATCCACCCAGAACCACCCCAAATCCAATCCAAACCACCCCAAACCCACCCAGAACCACCCCAAATCCACCCAGAACCCCCCCAAACCACCCCAAACCCGCCCAGAACCCCCCCAAACCACCCTAAATCTACCCAGAACCACCCCAAATCCAATCCAAACCACCCCAAACCCACCCAGAACCACCCCAAACCCGCCCAGAACCCCCCCAAACCACCCTAAATCCACCAGAACCACCCCAAACCACCCCCAAACCCACCCCAAATCCACCCAACCCCACCCAGCACCCCCTAACCCCCCCCTTATTTCTCCCCGCCCCCCCCCAGGTACATCGTGTTTGAGGGCGAGGAGGGGCAGGATGCGGGGGGCCTGCTGCGGGAGTGGTACATGATCATCTCGCGGGAGATGTTCAACCCCATGTACGCGCTGTTCCGCACGTCGCCGGGGGACAGGGTCACCTACACCATCAACCCCTCGTCCCACTGCAACCCCAACCACCTGAGCTACTTCAAGTTCGTGGGGCGCATCGTGGCCAAGGCCGTCTACGACAACCGCCTGCTCGAGTGTTACTTCACCCGCTCCTTCTACAAGCACATCCTGGGCAAGTCCGTCAGGTGAGAGGGCGGCGGGGTAGGGACACATTAATGGGTGTAGGGCCAACGTAATGGGGTGTAGGACCAACATAATGGGGTGTAGGGCTGCCTTCATGGGTGTAGGACCAACATAATGGGGTGTAGGACCAACTTAATGGGGTGTAGGACCACCTTAATGGGGTGTAGGGCTGCCTTCGTGGGTGTAGGACCAATGTAATGGGGTGTAGGACCAATGTAATGGGGTGTAGGACCAACGTAATGGGGTGTAGGACCAATGTAATGGGGTGTAGGACCAATGTAATGGGGTGTAGGACCAGCTTAATGGGGTGTAGGACCAACATTGTGGGGTGTAGGATGCTCTTTGTGGGGTGTAGGACCAGCATAATGGGGTGTAGGGTGGCTTTTGTGGGGTGTAGGACCAACATTATGGGGTGTAGGACCGCCTTAATGGGGTGTCAAACCACCTTTGTGAGGTGTAGGATCATCTTCGTGGGGTGTAAAACTGCCTTTGTGGGGTGTAAAACCACCTTAATGGGGTGTAGGACCACCTTAATGGGGTGTCAAAACATTTGGGGGTGTAGAACCGTTTTTCGGGGGTCTAGAAGCCCATTTCTGGGTGTAGATCCCCATTTTTGGGTCGTAGAACCCCATTTTGGGGGCATGTAACCCCATTTTTGGGTGTAGAACCCCCTTTTGGGGGGGCACAACTCATTTTTTTGATGTAGAACCCCTTTTTGGGTTGCAGAATCCCATTTTTAGGGTGTAGAACCCCATTTTGGGGGTGTTGAACCCCCTTTTCGGAGTCATATAACCCCCTTTTGGGGGTCATGTAACCCCTTTTTGGGGGTTTAGAACCCCTTTTTTGGGGTGTAGAACCCCCTTTTCAGGGTGTAGAACCCTATTTTTAAGGTGTAGAACCCCTTTTTTTGGGGTGTACCCCCTTTTTCCGGGTGCTGACCCCGCTGTGGCGCAGGTACACGGACATGGAGAGCGAGGATTACCACTTCTACCAGGGCCTGGTCTATCTGCTGGAGAACGACGTCTCCACCCTGGGCTACGACCTCACCTTCAGCACCGAGGTACCCCCCCCCCCCCAAGGGCACCCCAAAACCTGGCCTCAGGGTGCCCCCAGCACCACCAACCCCCCCCCTGCTCCCCAGCTCCCAATGGTGTCCCCCTTTGCTAGGGTGTCCCCTGTTTTGGGGGGGTCCCCTCTGTCCCAATGGTGTCCCCTTTATTCCTGGGGTGTCCCCCTTATTCCAGGGGTGCCCCTAAATCCCAAAGGGGTCTCCCCTGTTCTTGGGGTGCCCCCTGTGTCTTACAGTGTCCCCTGCTTTAGGGGTGTCCCCCCTGTCCCAATGGTGTCCCCTTTATTCTTGGGGTGTCTCCAAGTCCCAGAGGGGTCTCCCCTGTTCTTGGGGTGTTCCCTTTGTCCTGGTGGGTGCCCCTGATTGGGGGTGTCCCCCCCCGTCCCAGTGGTATCCCATTGGTACCCCCTTTGTCCTGGGGGTGTCCCCAAGTCCCAGAGCTCTCCCCCTTCTTTGGAGGGGTCCCTCCTGTCCCAGTGCTTTCCCCTTTGTTCCCGGGGTCCCCCCCTTCCTTTGGGGGTGCCCCTTGACCCCCCCGTCCCATCCAGGTGCAGGAGTTTGGGGTGTGCGAGGTGCGGGACCTGAAGCCCAACGGAGCCAACGTCCTGGTGACGGAGGAGAACAAGAAGGAGTACGTGCACCTCGTGTGCCAGATGCGCATGACCGGTGAGCGCCTTCCCGGCAGCGTTCCCAGTGACGTTCCCAACAGCGTTCCCGACATTCCCAACATCCCGACAGCATTCCTGACATTCCGACATTTCCAACATTCCCAACAGCATTCCCAACAACATTCCCAATGACATTCCCAACAGTGTTCCCAACCCCATTCCCAACGACATTCCCGACATTCCCAACATTTTCAACATTCCTGACAGCATTACCAATGACATTCCCAACAATATTCCAGACAGCATTCCCGACCCCATTCCCAACAGCATTCCCAATGACATTCCCGATGACATTCCCGACAGCATTCCCAACATTCCCAACATTTACAACATTCCCGACCACATTCCCAATGACATTCCCAACCACATTCCCAACATTCCCGACAGCATTCCAGACAGCATTCCCAACAACATTCCCACTGACATTCCCAACGACATTCCCAACCACATTCCCAATGACATCCCCAATGACATTCCCAACAGTATTCCCGATGACATTCCCGACAGCATTCCCGACATTCCCAACATTTACAACATTCCTGACAGCATTCCCAACAACATTCCCGACCACGTTCCCAGTGACATTCCCAACAACATTCCCAACAGCATTCCCGACCCCTTTCCCAACGACATTCCCGATATTCCCAACAGCATTCCTGACATTCCCAACATTTCCAACACTCCTGACAGCGTTCCCAATGACATTCCCAACAACATTCCCGACCACATTCCCAACAGCATTCCCGATATTCCCAACAGCATTCCTGACATTCCCAACATTTTCAACATTCCCAATGATGGTCCCAACAACATTCCCAAAGACATTCCCAACCACATTCCTGACATTCCCAACAGCATTCCCAACATTTCTAACATTCCCAACAGCATTTTAAACAACATTCCAAACAACATTCCCAACATTCCCAGCATTCACAACAACATTCCCAACATTCCCACCAACATTCCCTACAACATTCCCAACGGCATTCCCAACAACATTCCCAGCAACATTCCCAGCATTCCCAACAACATTCCCAACAGCATTCCCAGCAACATTCCCGACATTTCCGGCATTCCCAACAACATTCCCAACAACGTTCCCAACATTTCCAACATTCCCAACGGCATTTTCAACAACGTTCCAAACAACATTCCCAGCAACATTCCCAGCATTCCCAACATTCCCAACAGCATTCCCAGCACCGTTCCCAGCACCATTTCCCCAACATTCCCAGCACCATTCTCAGCACCATTCCCACCACCATTCCCACCACCATTCCCACCATTCCCACCACCATTCCCATCACTCCCATCACCATTCCCAGCACCATTCCCACCATCCCCAGCACCGTCCCCATTGACGCCCGCTACCCCGTAGGCGCCATCCGGAAGCAGCTGGCCGCCTTCCTGGAGGGTTTCTATGAGATCATCCCCAAGCGCCTCATCTCCATCTTCACGGAGCAGGAGCTGGAGCTCCTCATCTCGGGGCTCCCCACCATCGACATCGACGACCTCAAGGCCAACACCGAGTACCACAAGTACCAGGGCAACTCCATCCAGGTGGGGTAACCCTGACCCTAACCCTAACCCTGACCCTGACCCTAACCCTAACCCTAACCCAACCCTAACCCTAACCCAACACCGAGTACCACAAGTACCAGGGCAACTCCATCCAGGTGGGGGCGCGCCGCGCAAGCACACCCCAAACGCACCCAAAACACACCCAAAACAGACCCCAAACACACCCAAAACAGACCCAAACACACCCCAAACACACCCAAACCAGACCCAAAACAGACCCCAAACACACCCAAAACACACCCCAAACACACCCAAAACACACCCAAAACACACCCAAAACAGACCCAAAACGCACCCGAAATACACCGAAACACACCCAAAACACACCCAAAACTGACCCAAAACACACCCAAAACACACCCAAAAACGGTCCCAAAACAGACCCAAAACTGACCAAAAACATCCCGAAATCAGACCAAAACCAGCCCCAAAACAGCCTCAAAACAGACCAAAATCAGACCAAAAACAGCCCCAAATGAGACCAAAATCAGACCAAAACCAGCCCCAAAACGGCCCCAAATCAGACCAAAACCAGCCCCAAAACAGCCTCAAAACATCCAGAAAATACCCCAAAACACCCAGAAAACCACCCCAAAATACCCAAAAATACCCCAAACCACCCCAAAATACCCCAGAACACCCAAAAAAACCCCAAAATGCCCCTAAAACCACTCTGAAAACCCCCAGCAATACCCCAACCCCCCCCCAAACCCCCTTTAACCCCCCCCCCAGCCCATCCCACTCCCCCCTGATGCGGGGGTGTCTGATTCCCCCCCCCCCAGCCCATCCCACTCCCCCCGATGCGGGGGTGTCTGATTCCCCCCCCCCAGCCCATCCCACTCCCCCCCCGATGCGGGGGTGTCTGATTCCCCCCCCCCCAGCCCATCCCACTCCCCCCCGATGCGGGGGTGTCTGATTCCCCCCCCCCAGCCCATCCCACTCCCCCCCCCGATGCGGGGGTGTCTGATTCCCCCCCCCAGCCCATCCCACTCCCCCGATGCGGGGGTGTCTGATTCCCCCCAGCCCATCCCACTCCCCGATGCGGGGGTGTTATTCCCCCCCAGCCCATCCCACTCCCCCCCCGGTGCGGGGGTGTCTGATTCCCCCCCTGCAGCCCATCCCACTCCCCCGATGCGGGGGTGTCTGATTCCCCCCCCCAGCCCATCCCACTCCCCTCGATGCAGGGGTGTCTGATTCCCCCCCCCCAGCCCATCCCACTCCCCCCGATGCGGGGGTGTCTCCCCCCCAGCCCATCCCACTCCCCGTTTGGGGGGTGTTGTGTTTGGGGGTGTTGTTCCCCGATGCGGGGTGTGTTCCCCCCCCCAGCCCATCCCACTCCCCCGATGCGGGGGTGTCTGATTCCCCCCAGCCCATCCCACTCCCCCCGAGGCAGGGGTGTCTGATTCCCCCCCCCTCCCCAGATCCAGTGGTTCTGGCGGGCGCTGCGCTCCTTCGACCAGGCCGACAGAGCCAAGTTCCTGCAGTTCGTGACCGGCACCTCCAAGGTCCCGCTCCAGGGATTCGCTGCCCTGGAGGGGATGAACGGGATCCAGAAGTTCCAGATCCACCGGGACGACCGCTCCACCGACCGCCTGCCCTCGGCACACACCTGGTACGGGGGGGGACACGGGACAGGGGATGGATGATATGGGACAGGGGATGGAGACGGGACAGGGGATGGATATGGATGGATGCGGGATGGAATGCACAGGGATGGATACGGGACAGGGGATGGGATGGATACGGGACAGGATGGACATGGATATGGGATGTGGGACATGCAATGCACAGGAGATGGGACATGGGATGTACATGGGTGTGGGACATGGGATGCACAGGGGATGGGATGCACATGGATACCGACAGGGGATGTACATGGATATGGGATACACGGGATATGGGGACATGGTACACGAACATGGGACACGGGATACTGGATATGGGACACACATGGGTATGGGAGACGGGGAAATGGGATATGGGGAGATGGGATATGGGACATGGGCCGGAACATGGCGTACGGCCATTTTGAACATGTGGGGTCACAGCCTACGAATCACATGACCTGACCCACAGCATGGGTGACAGTGTTGGTGTGGGGGGGGGTTCCTGTATCCCTTGTGCCACTTCCGGTGTGCCCCCCCATACACTCTGTGTGTGTCCATGTCCCATTCCCCCCCCCAGTTTCAACCAGTTGGACCTGCCCGCCTACGAGAGCTATGAGAAGCTGCGGCACATGCTGCTGCTGGCCATCCAGGAGTGCTCCGAGGGCTTCGGCCTGGCCTAGAGGGGGGGGGGCCCCGGGCCCCGCCCCCCCCCCCCCCTCCCCTCCCCCCCAGCGGCTCTATAAATATATATATATATTTTTTGGTTTCGTTGGTTTTTTTTTTTTTTTTTTTTTTTGGTTTCTTTTTTCGTTGTTGGGGGAGGGGTGGGGTTGTTTTGTTGGTTTTTTTTTTGCTCTGTTGGAAAGGGGGGGAGGGGATTCCCGCCACCCCCACCACCACCCCCCTCTCCGCCATGTTGTTTTTTGGGGGGTCGGAATGGTGACTTCAAAGGGGGAAAAGGCCCCTAAATTATAGAGAAAAGGTTCAGCCACACCCCCACACCCCCACCTCCCCTCCCCCCCTTAAAAAAAAAAATTGAGAGAAAAAGTGAAAAAAAAACAAAAAAATAAAAAGTGCACTCTTGGTAAGGGCAGTTCCGGTCGTTCTTGGGGGGGAGGAGGGGGGAGGCCGCCATCTTGGGGGGGGGGAGGAGGAGGTGGAGGCCGCCATCTTGAGTGTGGCAAAGCCGGGCAACCGGAACTCGCTCTCATGGGGCGGGCGTTTCCTGTGTCGCACCGGAAGTGACATCAGAGCGACGCGGAAGGGAGCCGCAACGTGCGGGTGGCCCGGCCATGACCCGCTCCAGTGAGCACTGGGGGGTTCGGGGGGAGGGAAATGGGGGGGTTCGGGGGGGGTTGGAGCCCCCCCTCATTCTGCCACCCCCCGCAGGGCGACAAATGGAGGCCGGCCGGAAGAAGCGGGTGCAGGTGAGCCCTGGGAGGGGGTAGGGGTTTGGGGGGTGGGGGGGGTGACACCATCCCGGTTCGGGGGTGTCACCCCCCAATTCCCATAGGGAAAAGGAGCCAAGGGAGGAGGGAGGAAGGACCCGGGGGTGCCGCAGCTGCGCCGCTTCGCTGCCCACGTCCAGCGGCAGAACGAGAGCAAGCGGGAACGGGTAAAACCAATGGGGGGGGGGGGGAGAAGTGGGGGGTCCTGGGGGTGCTCCCCCCCCACACTCACAATGGTTCTGACCCCCCCACGCAGGCAGCGGAGGCGCAGGAGCGGCGGGAGGCGGCGCGGGAGGCGGAGCGGAGCCGGCGGCGGAGCCTGGAGGGGCTGCGGTTGGAGGCGCTGCGGAGGCAGCGGGAGTTCGAGCGCAGGGTGCGGGGCGGGGGGGGGGGAACAATTGGGGGTCCCCCCCCTTCTCCTCCAGTGTCCGGTAACGTGGGGGTCCTGCAGGAGGTGCGGAGCGAGGAGAAGGATGTGGAGGAGGAGGCGTCGCTGAGGCAGCACGGGAGGGAGCTGCGGGAGGTGAGGGAAAAGGAGATGGGATGGGGTGGGGATAACGGGGATGGGATGGGGATAATGAGAATGGGATGGGGATAATGGGATGGGATGGAAAGAATGGGAACGGGATGGGGATAATGGGATGGGGTCAGTGGGAGTGGGGTGGGGAGACGGGAGTGCGATGGGGATAATGGGATGGGGTATGGGAGTAGGATGGGGATAATGGGAATGGGGTGGGGATAACGGGGATGGGACAGGGATAATGGGAATGGGATGGGGATAATGGGATGGGGTCAGTGGGAGTGGGGTGGGGAGACGGGAGTTGCGATGGGGATAATGGGAATGGATGGGGATAATGGGAATGGGATGGGGACAAAGTGAATGGAATGGGGACATGGGAATGGGATGGGGACATGGGAATAGAATGGAGATAAAGGGAATGGGGTGGGGATGATGAGAATGGGATGGAAAGAATGGGAATGGGATGGAAAGAATGGGATGGGGATAATGGGAATGGGATGGGGATATGGGAGTAGGATGGGGATAATGGGAATGGGATGGGGGCATGGGAATAGGATGGAGATAAAGGGAATGGGGTGGGGATAAGGAGAATGGGATGGGAATAATGGGAATTGGGATAATGGGAATGGGATGGAAAGAATGGGAATGGGATGGGGACATGGGAATAGGATGGAGATAAAGGGAATGGGGTGGGGATAATGAGAATGGGATGGAGAGAATGGGGATAATGGGAATGGGATGGAAAGAATGGGAATGGGATGGGGGCAATGGGAGTGCAATATGGATGTAGAGCAGTGGCACTGGGAGGATGCACGGACCGGGGGTATCACACAGGGACACACACACAGGAGGTGGCACTGGGGGGGGGGGGCCATGACCCCCCCCCCCCCCCATCCCCCATCAGGTGCTGGCAGCATCCGACGTGGTGCTGGAGGTGCTGGATGCCCGGGACCCCCAGGGCTGCCGCAGCCCCCGCCTCGAAGCCGCCATCCGGAGCTCGGGGCCCCGCCAGCGCCTGGTGCTGGTGCTCAACAAGATCGGTGCGGGGAGAGGGGGGGGCACAGGATGATGTTGGGGGGGGGTCCCCCCTTTTCAATGATGGGGGGACCCCCTCTTTGTGTCCGTCCTTCGCAGACCTGGTGCCGAGGGACGTGGTGGCCGCGTGGCTGAGGCACCTCCGCGCCGAGCTCCCCACCGTGGCCTTCAAGGCGTGCACGCAGCAGCAGAGCCGCAACCTGGTGCGGGGCTGGAAGGGAAAGGGGGGGTTAAAGGGGTTTGGGGGGTTAAAGGGACAATGAGGACAATGGGGACCCCCCCCCATCCCCTTTGTGCAGAAGCAGAGCCGGGTGCCGGTGGCGACGGCCCCCGAGGAGGTGCTGACCGGGGGGGCGTGCGTGGGGGCCGAGTGTTTGCTCCGGGTCCTGGCCAACTACAGCCGGTGCGGGGAGGTGAAAACAAGCATCACTGTGGGGGTCGTGGGTGAGTGGGGGCAATGGGATGGGATGGGGGCAATGGGATGGGGGTTATGGGAGTGGGATGGGGGCAATGGGATGGGGGCAATGGGAATGGGATGGGGGCAATGGGATGGGATGGGGGCAGTTGGGTGGGGGTTATGGGAATAGGATGGGGGCAATGGGATGGGATGGGGACAATGGGAATGGGATGAGGACAATGGGAATGGGATGGGTCGGGTGGGGGTTATGGGAGTGGGATGGGGTCAATGGGAATGGGATGGGGTCAGTGGGAGTGCAATGGAGATACAGGAGTGGGATGAGGACAGTGGGAGGACGGGGATAATGGGAGTGGGATGGGGTTAATGGGAATGGGATGGGGATATAGGAGTGAGATGGGGTCAGTGGGAGTGGGATGGGGACAATGAGAATGGGATGGGGTCTGTGGGATGGGATGGGGACAATGGGAATGGGATGGAGTCAATGTGAGGAGGATGGGATATGGGAGTGGAAGGAGGATATAGGAATGGGATGGGGACAGCGGGAGTGGGATGGGGATAATGGGAATGGGATGGGGATAATGGGTGTGGAATGGGGATAATGGGAAGGGGATGGACATAATGGGATTGGGATGTAAGAGTGGGATGGGGATAATGGCAGTGGTCTGCAGGGGGGGTGCTATACTTGAAGGGCACCCCACTGATGGTCCCCCCCCTCCAGGGTACCCCAATGTGGGTAAGAGCAGCCTCATCAACAGCCTGAAGCGGAGCAGGGCTTGTGGGGTGGGGGCAACCCCGGGGGTCACCAGGTAAGCCCCGCCCCTTTGGGAGGCGGAGCCTGCATTGACCACACCCCCTATGGGGGGGTTGCGAGGGTCCGCCCCCACCCTTGACCGTGCCCCCAGGTGCCTGCAGGCCGTGCAGCTGGACCGGCACATCAAACTCCTGGACTGCCCTGGCGTTGTCATGGAGACGGGCGCCCCCCCTGCCGCTGCCCCACTGCGGGGGGCTCTGGCCCCACAGCGCCTGCGGGACCCCCTGACCCCCGCCATTGCCATCCTGCGCCGCTGCCCCCCCCAGCAGGTAACGGGGTTGGGGGGGAATGGGGACTTGGGGCTGTTGCCATGGTGATGATGGGTGTTGGGGATCCCCCTCTGGGGGCTAAGGTCTGTCGCCATGGCAACTGGGGTTGTCAGGGGGCTTAGATGTGTTGCTATGGTGACTGGGGGGGTGCCCCTTTAGAGGCTCAGAGTGGTTGTCGTGGCAGCTAAGGGTGTTGGGACCTGTTGCCGTGGCAACTAGGGGTGTCTGGGAGGGCCCAAGCCTGTTGCCATGACAACTAGAGCTGTTGGAAATACCTCTTTCAAAGGTTCCAATGGGTCACCATGGCAACTAGGGCTGTTGGGGATTCCGACCTGTTGCTATGGCAACTAGAGGTGTTGGGGGTACCCCTTTTGAAGGCTCCGACCTGTCACCATGGTAACTGGGGATGCCTGGAGTCCCTCTTGGGGGTTGCCATGGAAACTAGATATGGTGGGGAATCCCTGGGATGGCTCAACCGTGTTGCTATGGTGACACACCCCCCCCCATCTCCATGGCAACATCCCATTTTGTCCCCAAAACAGGGGCAGGGGGGGTGACAAGACCCCATCTGTGTACACACCCCCCCCCCCCCCAACAGCTGAGTGACCTCTATGGGGTCCCCCCCTGCGATGACCCCCGGCAGTTCCTGTCCCATCTGGCCCGGAGGCAGGGCCGGCTCCGGCCGGGGGGGGTCCCGGACCCCCATGCTGCTGCTGTGGCCCTGCTGCGAGACTGGACCAGGTTGGGATGGGATGGAGGGGGTCCCCCACACCCTGACCCACATTTGGGGGATACGGGGGGGGTTGTCCCTATAGCCTGACCCATTTTGCCCCCCCCTTTTCCCATACAGTGGCAAGATCTCCTACTACACCCACCCCCCCCAAACCCAAGGGGTGCATTTGGAAGCCCAAATCCTGACATCACTGGGGCCGGAGCTGGACCTGGAAGCACTGGAGAAGGGCGATGCTGAGGCGCTGGCAGGTGAGAACTGGAGCATCCCCCCCCATTATCCCCCCATGGGGTGACCCCCCCAATGTTCATTCCCCCCCCCCCCATTATCCCCCCATGGGGTGACCCCCCCCCAATGTTCATTCCCCCCCCCCCATTATCCCCCCATGGGGTGACCCCCCCCCCAATGTTCATTCCCCCCCCCTCCATAGCGGTACCAGTGTCTGTGGCAGGCATTGGGCTGGCTCCGTGTGTGCCTGAGGAGGAAGAGGAGGTGAAGTCCAATGGGGATGAAGCAGCACCCATGGAGGAGGATGCTGGCGACCTGGAGGTATGGATGGAAATGGGGGGGTCTATGAGGTATAGGAATGAACTGGGGGGGGGGGTCTTATAGGTGCATTATTGACCCCCCCTATCCCCCCCCTAACCCCAGCTTGGGGCAGTGACAGTGGAGCTGAAGCCCCCCCGGGTGAAGACAGGGGGCAATGGGGAGGGTCCCATACCCCGTGCCCCCCGCTTGGAGGAGGTGGCGGCTCTGGAGCCATTGCTGCAGGGCCAGGGGCTGCGGGCAGCCAGCAAAAGGAGGAAGAAGCTGCAGAAAAGAGCAGGTCAGTGAAGAAAAAGGGCTTTTTCAACCCAAAAAAACCTTCCATAACCCCCTAAATCCCCCTTTCCAACCCCAAAACCATTCCATAACCCCCTAAATCCCCCTTTCCAACCCCAAAACCCTTTCATAACCCCCCAAAACCCTTTTATAACCCCCCAAATCCTCCTTTCCAACCCCAAAACCATTCCATAACCCTCTAAATCCTCCTTTCCAACCCCAAAACGCTTTCATAACCCCCTAAATCCCCCTTTCCAACCCCAAAACCCTTTCATAACCCCCCAAATTCTCATTTCCAACCCCAAAACCCTTTCATAACCCCCTAAATCCTCCTTTCCAATCCTGAAACCATTCCATAACCCCTTAAATCCTCCTTTCCAACACAAAACCATTCCATAACCCCCTAAATCCCCTTTTCCTACCCCAAAACCATTCCTTAATCCCCTAAATTCTCTTTTCCACGCCCAAAACCCCTTCCTTAACCCCCCAAATCCCCCTTTCCAAACCCAAAACCCTTCCTTAACTGCCTAAATCCTCTTTTCCAACCCCAAAACCATTCCATAATCTCCTAAATCCCCTTTTCCAACCCCAAAACCCTTCCTTAACCCCCTAAATCCTCTTTTGCAACCCCAAAACCCTTCCATAATTCCTAAATCCTCTTTTCCAACCCAAAACCCTTCCTTAACCCCCCAAATCCCCCTTTCCAACCCCAAAACCCTTCCTTAACCCCCTAAATCCTCTTTTGCAACCCCAAAACCCTTCCATAATTCCTAAATCCCCTTTTCCAACCCAAAACCCTACCTTAATCCCCTAAATCCTCTTTTCCAACCCAAAACCCTTCCTTAACCCCCCAAATCCCCCTTTCCAACCCAAAAACCCTTCCTTAACCCCCTAAATCCGCTTTTGCAACCCCAAAACCCTTCCATAATTCCTAATCCCCTTTTCCAACCCAAAAACCCTTCCTTAATCCCCTAAATCCTCTTTTCCAACCCAAAACCCCTTCCTTAACCCCCCAAATCCCCCTTTCCAACCCCAAAACCCTTCCTTAATCCCCTAAATCCTCTTTTCCAACCGAAAAACCCTTCCTTAACCCCCCAAATCAATCCCCTTTTCCAATCCCAAACCCCCTTCCTTAACCCCCCAAATCCTCTTTTCCAACCCAAATCCCCCCCAATTCCTCCTTTATCCCATTTACCCCATAGAGAAGCTCGCCACGAAGCTGTCGGAGACGCTGGAGGCCGCGATGCAGTTCTGAGGACGAGGCTTTTCCAACAGGAACCGTGTTTTTTAAGCAAAAAAAATTGTTAAAAACAACTGTTTGGGGTTTTTTTTTGCAATAAAAGCACAGGCGCAGTGTGTGGGGGGGGTAAAAGGTGCAGTTTCTGGGGCGTTTAAGCAGGATTTGGGGCTGGCTTGAGGGGGCTGGCCCCATAGAGCAGAATGGGGAGGTAAAACCCTTCTACATCCCCTGTTATCAGCCTGTGTTGCCCCATTAACACCTTCAGAGCACCCCAAAAGCCACATTGGGGTCCCCGACACCCCCAAAGGGAATAGGTTCCCCCCCCCATATCCCATTGCGGCAGCTCCCCTCAGCCCCGGCCGCCATTTTGTGGCCTCTTCTCTTACCCAAGGGAAGGGCTTTAGAGGCTCCTTACAAGACACAGAGCAACACAAGTGATTTGGTCGCCATTATTTCGGTGAAGACAGGGGTTAAATGGGCAATTTTGGGTGGTTTGGGGTTGTTTTAATCTCGTTTTTAACGGCGGCGCCATTTTGCCGCCCTGAGGGACGGAGGGTGGGGGGCAGTTTCCCGCCTTTTCACCCCCCCCCCATTCTGAGGCGATCCCGACAGGACCCTCGAGGCCGCCGTCCGGGCACGTGCGAAGGGGCGGAGCGATCGCTGCCGCTCGCCCAATCGCGATGCGAGGAAGGGGGAGTGGGCGGGATGAAGGTGGAGCTTGAGTCAATAGCAGGCGGTGTGGGCGGGATCTCACTGCTAGCGCATGCGCATAGAGAGGCAGAGCGAGGAAGCGCGGGCTGAGGGAAGCAGCGGCGGCGGCTCTGGGTCGGTTTAACGGGCCTTGCTCCCTCCTGATATCGCGATGGAGCGGGACGCGGCGATAGGAACGGCCTCGGAGCGGTTTTAGCCTGTTCGGTGCTTGTTTTGCCCTCAGGGCTGTGAGAGGAATGTCCCAGAGGAAGCGCAGCAGAGGGTCAGGGCCCTCCCAGGTAAGAGGCTGCTCCTTTCCCGTGTCTTTTCCGCTTTTATGCCCTTTCATTTCCCTCCTTTCCGTTTTCCCCCCTTTATTCCCTTTCTCTTTCCCCATTCCCCCCTTTTCTCCCTTTACTCCCTTTCTTTTTACCCTTTTCTCCCCTTTCCCTTTTTCCCCCTTTCTCCCTCCTTTCCTCCTTTATCCCCTTTCTCTTTCCGTTTCCCCCCCCTTTCTCACTCCTTTCCCCCTTTATTCCCTTTCTCGTTTATTTCCCCCTTTTCCCTCTTTCTCTTTACCCTTTTTCCTCCTTTCTCCCTCCTTTCCTCCTTCATTCTTTTTTCCCTTTATTTACCCCTTTTCCCTCTTTCTCTCCCCTTTATTTCCACCTTTTCTTCCCCCCTTTTTCCTTCCTTTCCCCCTTTATTCCCTTTCTCTTTCCCCTTTACCCCCTTTCTCCCTTTATTCCGTTTCCCCCTTTCTCTCTCCTTTCCCACTTTATTCCCTTTCTATTTCCCCTTTTTTCCCCCTTTCTCCCTTTATTCCCTTTCTCTCTTCCCCTGTATTCCCTTACCCTTTCGCCTTTATTTCCCCCTTTCTCCCTCCTCTCTCCCCACAGGCAGACGATGGGGACGAGGATTTCAACCTCAGCCCCACGCTGCCGCGCAGCCAAGTGCAGCGGAACCTGGAGAGGCGCTCCCAGGACCAAGTGAACCAGAAGGTGGGTGCAGGCCACCCCAAGCAATGGCCTCCTGCCTCTGCCCCTCCATCATCACCCAGCTCTCAACCTTCCCCCCTTTATAGGTCAGTGAGCTGGTCCAGTTCCTGCTTGTCAAAGACCAGAAGAAGATCCCCATTAAGAGAGCAGGTCAGTTTAGGCCCTCCTTCCCCCCCCCAAAACCTTACTTAGGGGGACCTCAGGCATCCAAGTGATTCCCTTCCCTTTTCCCTATAGATATCCTGAAGAAAGTCATCCGGGAATACAAAGACATCTACTCAGAGATCATCAACCAGGCAGGCAGGACCCTGCAGCAGGTTGGGTGAGGGGACACAACACACACTTGGGAGGGGGCAGTTTTTTGGGGTGCAGAACCCCTGTTATGACCCTTTCTCCTCCTCCTGCAGGTGTTTGGGCTGCAGTTGGTGGAGATAGACACCAAGCAGCACATTTACATCCTCACCAGCACCATAGCCCGCACTGAGGGGGAGAACCTGCGTCGGTGAGGGCTGGGATTGGGGGGACAGGGGACCCCATTGGGGTGTGTGTGTGTCCCCTTCTTCTCTTTGCTCATCCCTATTTCCCATAGGGACAACCAGACAGCAAAGCTGGGGCTCCTCATGGTCATCCTCAGCTTCATCTTCATGAAGGGCAACTCAGTCAAAGATGGTGAGCCTGCCCCCTCCCATTCCCCCCCCAGTACCCCAATTCCCCTTTGTGCCCCCCCATTGACACCCCCCCCTCTCTTTTCCAGGTGCCCTGTGGGAATTTCTCCGCAGGCTCCGTATACAGCCAGGGTAGGATATGGGAAGGGGGGGGAACACACATAATGGGGGGACACACACACACACATAGGTCTCATTGCTACCACAGCTCATTGACCCCCCCTGCCCCACTCAGGGAACGCCATGAGGTCTTTGGGGACGTCAAGAAGTTGGTGACAGAGGAGTTTGCACGGCAGAAGTGAGTCTTGGGGTGCCCCCCCCCCCTTTTTGGACCACCCCCCCCGGTGTGCTCAGAGCAGCCACAGCACCAGTTTTGGCTGGGCTGTTTATACCACACCGCAGAGAAACCCCCCCCACTTTGCACCCCCCCCCAAACCCAGTGACTTGAGGGGTCTGTCACAGGGCTGGGGGGGTGCTGGACACCTGCCCCCCCCCCAAAACCATAGTTTGGGGGGGGTTCACCCCATCACCCCATAGTAGGTACCTGGAGATCACCTCCATCCCCTTGACGGACCCCCCCGAGTTCAAGTACCAATGGGGGCCACGGGCAGCCAAGGAGACCTCCAAGATGGAGGTGCTGCACTTTGTGGCAAAGGTGAGGCCATGTTGGGGGGGTCCCGGGTTTTGGGGGGGTCCTGGGGCTTAATTTAACACCCCCACCCTTTATTTCTCCTCCCCAGATGCAAGGGAAGGACCCCTCATACTGGGTAAGCCAGTACAATGAGGCTAAGACCACCCGTTGACCCCCCAAAACATTGATGGACCCCCCCACAATAAAGGTGCAGCTTGACAACATCCATGCTCAGTTCTTCATTAAAGCCAGGTTTAATCTGGGGGCCCCCTCCTGTTTGGGAAGGGGGGGAACCCCTCAATAATGCTCAGGAACTGTGACCAGTGCTTCAGCAGGGGGGCGGCTGATGTCGACGTTCTATGGGGTGAAGATGAAGGTTTTAGGGGGGGACTCCCCAAAATCTAAATCTAACCCCCCTTAATGTCAGGGGGAGTTGTCCTTAAATCTATGCCTTATTTTGGGGGTGCTTCAATGGGTTTCTTAGGGGGGACCCCCCCTTTTTACCTGGGGCCGCTCCCGATGGGTGTTCACTGCTGCTACATTGAGGAAGATGGACTCCACTTCACACCCTGTTCCCATGGGGAGGGAGATGGGATCCATATGGGGGGTTGAGGAGGGGTTGTCCCCATTGGGGGGGGGAACAGTCCCCCCCTTTTTAGGGGTGCCACCACCCCACTCACCATAAGCCACTGGGGTCAGCTTGAGCACGGTGTGCAGGGGGCACTTGAGATAGGGCAGCTCATCTTGGGGATGGGGTGAAGGAGGTAAGAGGGGGGTGATGGATGTGGGGGTGTCCCCAGTGTGTCCCCCCCATCTCACCAGCACTCTTATCCAGGAAGTAGGCCAGCAGGCAGCGCATCACAGCTTGGTGGCAGATGACCAACACGTTCTCTTGCCTCTCCAGCTCCATGATGACCGGCTCCAAGCGCTGCACCAGGTCCTCATACGACTGGGGGGGTGCACAACGACCCCAAATTGAAGTTGGGGGGACCCCCACATTGACCCCAAACCCCTGTGCACCCATTCATGTGGGACAGGATGGGGGTTACCTCTCCTTTGGGGTAGCGATAGCGATACTTGTCCTGATCCCGGAGTGCAAACTCCTGTGGGAAGCGCTCCTGGATCTCCTCATAGGACATCTCCTCGCAGACCCCCTGTGGGAATGGGGATGCTGTGGGGTTGGAAAAGGATTTTGGGGTGTTTCTCCCCTTACAAAAAGGGGGGGGTCCTCACCGCATCGATCTCATTGAGGGCTTTCCACTGCTCGTAGGGCACCCCCAGTGCCTCGGCCGTCTCGATGGTGCGTTTCATGTGGCTGGTCCACACCTTCAGCTCCCGGATGTTCTGGCCGCGGATGAACTCGGCCAGGGCCCGGGCGTACTGGGGAGAGGGGCGGGGTTAAGCGTGGAAACGCCCACAAGGGGCGGGGTCAACGTTCTGGCCACGCCTCCCTTCTGATCGCCCCCCATTGCTCAGTAGGGATGGTGGGAGAGTGGGCGGGGTCTCTGGTGTAGCTCCTCCCCTTGTCCTTATGTGGCCTCGTTTAGCTCCACCCCATGCCTGTAACCACGCCCCTTCTGCACCCTGTAACACCCTCTATGGCTGTGCCCCCCACCATGGGATCAGGGACACCCCCTCCCAAGCCCTTCTCCCTTCCCCATCCCTTCCATGTGCTCAGGCCCCACAGCCTCTTCCCCTTCCCCATCCCCTCCATGCCCGTGCCCTCCTCTTGTCCCTATCCCCTCCATGCCCTTGACCTCCTCTTCCCTCCCCTCATTCCCATCCCCTCCATAGCCTTTACCTCCTCTTCCCTCCTCTTGTCCCCATCCCCTCCATGGCTGTGCCCTCCTCTTGTCCCCATCCCCTCCATGGCCGTGCCCTCCCCTTGTCCCCATCCCCTCCATGGCCGTGCCCTCCTCTTGTCCCCATCCCCTCCATGGCCTTGACCTCCTCTTGTCCCCATCCCCTCCATGGCCATGTCCTCCTATTCCCTCCCCTTGTCCCCATCCCCTCCATGGCCTTGACCTCCTCTTGTCCCCATTCCCTCCATAGCCATGCCCTCCTCTTGTCCCCATCTCCTGCATGCCCTTGACCTCCTCTTCCCTCCTCTTGTCCCCATCCCTTCTATGGCCTTGACCTCCTCTTGTCCCCATCCCCTCCATGCCCATGCCCTCCTCTTCCCTCCTCTTGTCCCCATCCCCTCCATGGCCTTGACCTCCTATTCCCTCTTGTCCCCATCCCCTCCATGCCCGTGCCCTCCTCTTCCCTCCCCTCATCCCCATCCCCTCCATATCCATCCCCCCTTTATGGCCCCATTACCCCCCCCAATCTCCAGACCTGCTGCCCCCGTGGGGACAGCCCCGAGTCCCCCCCGATGCATCCCTTCAGGTTGAGCTGGCTCTCCCCATGGCGGCTCAGGTAGATGGAGCGCGGCGTGACGTGGATGTTCATCAGGTAATACACGGTGCGGCTCTGGATGTGACCCTGCACCCTGTTCGCCAGGTACCGCACCCCCACATCGAAGATCTTGATGTAGGACAAGGCACTTTGGGGGGACACACACATCCTGCATCACTTTGGGGGGTCCCCATATATAAAGCGGGGGGGCACATCGAGGGGTTGATGGGGGGTAACCTGTCCAGCTGCTCATCCAGGGGTTCATAGGTGGCCTTATAGCACTCGATGCGCTTGAGGAAGTCAGCCACAACCTCATCCTGGGCACAGCCTTTGTAGTCAGGGCTGCTCAGCTTCACTTGCTGGGGGGGGGCACAACACACATAGGGTTTATGGGGGGGCAGACATGGTCCTTCCCCCCCAAACCCCCAGTCTTTGTCACCCTCCCAAGGCTCTCACCTTGATGTTCTCCTCGATGATATTGGGGTCGTCGCAAATGGATTCAACAAATAGAACCTGGGGGAGGGGGGGAGGTCATCGATGTGACCCCCCCCCCCATGCTATGATCACCCCCAAAATGGTGCCCTATAGCACCCCAGTGCTGTGAGCACCCCAAAGCACTTCCACTATTGCCCCCCTCCCCATTCTGTGAGCACCACCAAAACACTACCAGCACCCCCCTCCATGCTCTGAACACCCCTAAAACAGTGCCAGCCCCCCCCCCAGTGTGCTATGGACACCCCCAAAGCAGTGTCACCATGTCCCCCAATGCTCTGTAGACCTCCCCCCCCCCCATTACCTTGTACCCATTCTCCTTTGCAAACTGCAGGATCAGGGCCCGGCGTTCCCGTGTTGTATTGGTGGCATCAAAGACCTGAGGGGTTATGGGGGGGCAGTTTGGACCCCCCCCTATAACATAGGGGGGTATTTGCCCCCTGGGGGGGTCGTTTGTGTAAAGGGAGGGGGGGTCCTTACTGCTACTTGCCCCTCTTCAGAGCTCAGGTAAGTGTGGACGTCCTTAAGGGCAGCCAATGCACAGTGCCTTGGGGGGGGGGGGAGTATTATTAATAAGGGGCTATTAATGTGCCCCCCCTTAATTATAACCCCCCTTTAACACACCCCCCCCCCTTTTAACCTCCGTATCTTCATGGCTTCTTGGTTATCATGGCGGAAGAACTCATAACTCTTATAGCTCTGCACCGCTTCCCTCCGGTACTGCCCCACATTAAACACTGCAATGGGGTGAGTAAAGGGGTTAAAGGGCCCCCCCAAGCCCCTTCCTATGCCCCCTCCCTCTTTTACACCCCAAAACCCTCTACTTACCCCGTGTTGGTGTCCCGATCCAGTTCAGATACCGGGTGAGCTTACGGGATATATAGGTCTTGCCACGGGCTGGCAACCCCACCATGATCACCATAGTGGGGCAGTTGGTAAACTGGGGTACAGAAGCTATAAAAGAGAGGGTTCTATTAGTATTTAACCCCCCCCCTTAATGGCTTTTGCACCCCCAAATCCAATCTGGAGCAGCTCAACATGCCCTGAAGGGGGCAAATCTATGGGGGCACCTATAGGTGCATAGGGGGCACCTATAGGTGCGTTGTGGGGGGTGGATTTGCCCCCCATCAGGGCATCCCCCCCCTATATTAAAGCCCCCCCACTTACATCCCCGTCTCAAGCGATGGGACCGAAGGGGGACCCACACTTTCTGCAGTGGGGTCTGTGTGAGTTGCCCCGGTGCTGTCGCCATTCCTCTGCCCTCTGCCCCTAATGCAGGTCAATGTCCCCACGGTCACCCCCCCACACTCCCCCCCCACATCCCGGGCACCAATTCAAGCCCCCTCCCTTCTTATACCTGGGATTTGGGGTGATTTCTCCTCCATTTTTACTGGGGGGGGGCAGGCGGGTGCTGGTGGTGCCCCCCCGATAAAGGTCAGGGGTAATGCTATACCCTGGCTGCAAGCCGGGGTGGGAGGGAGATGGGGGTAAAAAGGGGGAGGGGGGGCACACACGCAATGGGGGTGCCCCATAGGATCCTGGCTCTGGCCCTTTAAGTGTCAGGAGCTGCTTGTGCTGGGTGTCAAGGGGTTATTTCCTTGGGGGTCTCAATCCTGCTCCCTTTGGGGGTCCTGATCCCATTCCCCAAGGGACCCGGTCCTGTTCTGTTGGGGGTCCTGAGCCTGTCACCTTGAGGGTCCTGATTCCATTCCCCAAGGGACCAGATCCTGTTCCACTGGGGTCCTGATCCCATCACTTTGGGGGTCCCAATCCTGTCACCTTGAGGGTCCTGAGCCTGTCCCCTTGTGGGTCCTGATTCCATTCCCCAAGGGACCAGATCCTGTTCATTGGGAGTCCTGATCCCATCACTTTGGGGGTCTCAGTTGGGTCCCTTTGAGGGTCCTGATCCCATCACTTTGGGTGTCCCAGTCCTGTCCCTTTGGGGGTCCTGGTCCCATCCCATCCAGGCTACCCCAATCCTCATCCTGCCTTCATCCCTTTGGGATGGCTGATCCCTATCCTATCCCTTCGGGAATCCCTATCCTATCCCTTTGGGGGTGCTGATCCTATCCCTTTGGGGGTCCTGATCCCATTCCTGGGGGGGTGCTGATGCCATCACTTTGGGGGTCCTGGTCCCATCCCATCCAGGCCACCCCAATCCTCATCCTGCCTTCATCCCTTTGGGATGGCTGATCCCTATCCTATCCCTTTGGGGGTGCTGATCCTATCCCTTTGGGGGTCCTGATCCCATTCCTGGGGGGTGCTGATGCCATCACTTTGGGGGTCCTGGTCCCATCCCATCCAGGCCACCCCAACCCTCATCCTGCCTTCATCCCTTTGGGATGCCTGATCCCTATCCTATCCCTTTGCGAATCCCGATCCTATCCCTTTGTGGGCCCCAATCCAACCTTAGGGACTCCCCACTCCCGCCCCCCCCCCCATTTCCTCCTCTTCCTCCTCCTTTTCCTCCCCCCCCTCCCCTTTCCCCATCCCTAGCCCCGCCCTTCCGGTGCCTCCCCCCGCTCCCATTGGCTGGGCGCGGGGCGGGCAATGGCGACGATCCGGAGCGTGAAGGTACCAAGGTCCCGATGGGGGGGGGGGTGTCCCCATTAACCCCCATTATTAACCCCCATTATTAACCCCCATTAACCCCCATTATAGACCCCCATTATTAACCCCCATTAACCCCCATTGTCCCCCCCTCCACGGCAGGGGTTGGTGGCGCTGGTGACCGGCGGGGCCTCGGGGCTGGGCCGGGCCACGGCGGAGCGGTTCGTGGCGCAGGGGGCCCGGGTGCTGCTGCTGGACCTGGGCTCGTCCGAAGGGGCTCAGGTCGCCAAGGAGCTGGGGGAGCGCTGCGCGTTCGCGGCCGCTGATGTGAGTTAAAGGGTGGGGGGGGGGGTCTATGGGGAGAGTCACTATGGGGGGTTGCTCTATGGGGGGGTCACTATGGGGGGAAGTCCTATGGGGGGTGCTCTATGGGGGTGACTATGGGGAGAGTCACTGTGGGGGGGTGCTCTGTAGCGGTTGCTCTATGGGGGGGTCACTATGGGGGGGTTGCTCTATGGGGGCTTGCTCTATGGGGGTTGGGTGATGGGGGTGCTCTATGGGGAGAGGCACTATGGGGGGTTGCTCTATGGGGGGGTGACTATGGGGGGGTTGCTCTTTGGGGGGTGCTCTATAGGGGGGTCACTATGGGGAGAGTCACTATGGGGGGTGCTCTATGGGGAGTCACTATGGGGGGCTTGCTCTATGGGGGGGTTACTGTGGGAGGGTTGCTCTATGGGGGTGCTCTGTGGGGTGAGTTACTATGGGGGGGTGCTCTATGGGGAGTCACTATGGGGGGGTTGTTCTATGGGGGGATCACTATGAGGGGGGTGCTCTGTGGGGTGGTCGCTCTATGGGGTGGTCACTCTATGGGGGTTGCTCTATGGGGTGGTCGCCCTATGGGGTGGTCACTCTATGGGGGATTGCTATATGGGGGTCAGTCTATGGGGGTCACTCTATGGGGTCACTCTATGGGGATGGTCACTCTATGGGGATGGTCGCTCTCTGTCTTCCATTGTGTAAATGGGACGACAAGCAAGCCTGGAGAGGGGTTTTGGGTCGGGGCTATAGGGCCAGGCCAAGGGGAACGTCTTTAACCCGCCAGAGGCACGGATGCGATGGGCTCCTGAGGCCTCCATTCCCATGAGGACACCGGGATGGGGGGGAACAGAGAGCGCTTGGGGCCCCCCCACACCCCATCCACAGCTCCCTCGGTGCCATGGGGTCCCCATGCAGGTGACATCGGCCGAGGAGGTGGGAGCTGCCCTGAAGCTGGCCCAGAAGGAGTTTGGGCGCCTGGACCTGGTGGTGAACTGCGCCGGGGTGGGCATCGCCGTCAAGACCTACAACAGCAAGAAGGACAAGGTGCACGAGCTGGAGGACTTCCAGAGGGTCGTCAATGTGAGTGCGGTGTTGAGGGGGGTGTTGGGGGTCAATGGGGTGGTTGTGGGGTGCTCCTGGTTAATGGGGTGGTTGTGGGGTGGTCTTGGTCAATGGGGTGGTTGTGGGGTGGTCTTGGTCAATGGGGTGGTTGTGGGGTGCTCCTGGTCAATGGGGTGGTTCTGGGGTGTGCTTGGTCAATGGGGTGGTTGTGGGGTGCTCCTGGTCAATGGGGTGGTTGTGGGGAGCTCCTGGTCAATGGGGTGGTTGTGGGGTGCTCCTGGTCAGTGGGGTGGTTGTGGGGTGGTCCTGGTTAATGGGGTGGTTGTGGGGTGCTCCTGGTCAATGGGGTGGTTGTGGGGTGGTCCTGGTTAATGGGGTGGTTATAGGGTGTCCCTAGTTGAGGTGGTTATAGGGGTGTCCAAGTGGAGTGGTTGTGGGGTAGTCCTGGTCAATGGGGTGCTTATGGGGTGTGTTTGGTCAATGGGGTGGTTGTGGGGTGCTCCTGGTCAATGGGGTGGTTGTGGGGTGTCCCTAGTTGAGGTGGTTATAGGGGTGTTCCAGTGGAGTGGTTGTGGGGTGCTCCTGGTCAATGGGGTTGTTATAGGGTGTCCCTAGTTGAGGTGGTTATAGGGGTGTCCCAGTGGAGTGCTTGTAGGGTGGTCCTGGTCAATGGGGTGGTTATGGGGTGTGCTTGGTCAATAAGCTATTTATGGGGTGTCCTTGGTCAATGGGGTGGTTATGTGGTGTCCCAGGTCAATGGGGTGTTTATGGGGTGTCCCCAGTCACCACCATACTCATGCCCATGGGATGACCATCCAACCTTATGGTTCAAGGGTCCCGATAGGCCCAGCATGGGGGGGGGGGTGCCAATGGGCGCCCCCATTTGGGGTATCCCCATTTGGGGTGCCCCCATCCAACCTCCTCCCCCAGGTGAACCTGGTGGGGACCTTCAACGTCATCCGCCTCAGCGCCCAGCTCATGAGCCAGAACCAGCCCGATGCTGATGGCTACCGCGGGCTCATGGTCAACACGGCCAGCGTGGCCGCCTTCGAGGGGCAGGTGAGCACCGGCACCCATTGATTTGGGGGGGACACCCCAAAATGCTCACCCATGCCTATGGGGGGGTTGTGTTGTGTTGTGTGTGCTCTGTCCCCCCCTTAAGGTGGGTCAGGCAGCTTATTCAGCCTCCAAGGGTGGCATCGTGGGCATGACGCTGCCCATCGCCCGCGACCTGGCGCCGCTCGGCATCAGGGTGGTCACCATTGCTCCAGGTAGGGATGGGAGGGATGCATATAGGGTGGGTTATGGGGTTGGGGAGGGGGTGACCCCCCCACCTCAATTCACCCCCTATTCCCCCCCATTATTCCTCAGGGCTCTTTTCCACCCCGTTACTGGCTGGTTTACCCGAAAGGGTTCGGAATTTCCTGGGACAACAAGTGCCTTTTCCCTCCCGCTTGGGTCACCCCTCGGAATACGCGCACCTCGTCCAAGCCTTGGCCGAGAACCCCATGATCAATGGGGAGGTGGTGAGGTTGGATGGAGCCCTCCGCATGCAGCCATGAGTTTTGGGGCTCCCCCCCCCCTAAAATGTGGGGTTGGGGTCGGGGTCGGGGGTATCCACAGTGGGATGCTCCCCATAGCCCCACTGATGGTTAGATGCTCCATGGGGACACTGCAGGATGGGAATCCCATTGGGATGTGGACTGGGGCACTCCTATAAGTGGGGACACCCCTCTATGAGTGGGATTACCCCATGGATTTGGGGACGCCCCCCCCCCATGGATTTGGGACCCCCATGCTGTGATTTATGGCTCCACCTCCCCTGAATGAGGACCAGGGGCACCCATGGGAGTGGGGGCACCCACAATGGGGCCCTGTCCGGGTGTGGGACCCCCCCCTTTTTGTGCTATGGGGCCCCCCCACCCCACGGAGTCCCGGTCCCGCTCCCCGTTGTGCCCCCCCACAATAAAGCGTGTTCTGCGCTGCCCTCTAGCGTTGTCAATCTGTTGCTCTCACTCATGATTGGTTGACGGGGGGTGTGTGGGCGGTGCGAAAGCATTAGTGATTGGTTGGCGTGCGCGTCACTCAACGCGAAGCCGCTTTTAATTGGCGGACGGGGCGGGACAAGCTTTTTACCCACACTCCCATCAATGATTGGCTGTTGCTCTTGCTAGTACGCCTCCAGGCGGCGCTGATTGGCTGGGGTTGCTCCTTCCGCCGGAAGCGGCGCGGGAGGCAACAGGGACGGAGGCGGCGGAGCCGGAGCGGCCGCAACCATGAACATCCGGAATGCGAGGGTAGGGATCGGGATCGGGATCGGGACCGGGACCGGGATCGGGACCGGGACCGGGGGTAGGCTGAGAGGGGTAATTGGGCCCTATGAGTGCGAACCCGGCCTCCATGAGGGGCCCAGTCCCCTTCTTGAGGCCAATCCCAAGCCCCAAACGTGGGTCAGGGGCAGGCCTTGAATGTGTGTGTGTGGGGGTGATCCCACCCCATCAATGGGAGCTGCAGCTCTGGGGGTGTCCCTGTGTGTCCCCCCGTTCCCCTTCACCCCAATGGCCCGGGGCCGTTCTGAGTCACCCCCTTTTGGCAGCCCGAGGACCTGATGAACATGCAGCACTGCAACCTGCTCTGCCTGCCCGAGAACTACCAGATGAAGTATTACTTCTACCATGGGCTCTCCTGGCCTCAGGTATGGACCCCATTCCCCCCCCAACACCTCCATGAACCCCCTCTTTGTATCACCCCCCATCACCCCCTTTCCCCCCCCACCATAGCTCTCCTACATCGCTGAGGATGAGAATGGCAAGATCGTGGGTTATGTCCTGGCTAAGATGTGAGTGTGGTTATGGGGGGGCTCTCCCCCCCCCCTTTTCCCTTTGTTTTTAAATGGGGGGGTGCTGATAGGTTTGGGGGTGCTTCCCTCCCCCCCCCCCCCCAACTTCTTAGCTGTATTTTGCAGGGAGGAGGACCCTGATGATGTACCCCATGGGCACATCACATCCCTGGTAGGCAATGGGGAAGATGGGGGGGGATTGGGGGTGCTCCTTTAGGGTCCATTTGAGCCCTTTGGGGGGGGTTCTTAATGGAATCAGAGCATCCTGGGTGCTCCTGGATGGGGTTTGGGGTCAGCGGAAGGGTTTGGGGATGGAAATGGGGTTTTGGGGTGGAAATGGGGTTTTGGGGTGGAAATGGGGTTTTGGGGATGGAAATGGAGTTTTGGGGTAGAAATGAGGTTTTGGGGGTGGAAATGAGGTTTTGGGGTGGAAATGAGGTTTTGGGGTGGAAATGGTGTTTTGGGATGGAAATGAGGTTTTGGGGTGGAAATGGGGTTTTGGGGTAGAAATGAGGTTTTGGGGCCTCCTTGACGGCTTTTAGATGGGGATTGAAACCTTTTGATGGTGGTGGGGGGTATTTGGGTGCCTGGCTCCTTTTGGGGGTGTCATGTCGTCGTCCCCCCCCATCACATGTGTGTGTCCCCCCCAATCCCAGGCCGTGAAGCGCTCGCACCGGCGCCTGGGGCTGGCGCAGAAGCTGATGGACCAGGCCTCCCGCGCCATGATCGAGAACTTCAACGCCAAATACGTCTCCCTGCACGTGCGCAAGAGGTGAGGGACCCCCCCCATCAGAAACACATTGGGGGTGTTCCCCCCCCCCAAGTTAACACCACCCCCCCCATCAGGAACACATTGGGGGTGTTCCCCCCCCCCCAAGTTAACACCACCCCCCCCCCATCAGAAACACATTGGGGGGTGTGTGTCCCCCCCCCCAAAGTTAACACCACCCCCCCTATCAGAAACACATTGGGGGTGTTCCCCCCCCAAAGTTAACACCACCCCCCCACACCTTGTTTGTTGGCAGCAACCGGGCGGCTCTGCACCTGTATTCCAACACCCTCAACTTCCAGTGAGGATGGGGGGGCTCAACTTCCAGTGAGGATGGGGGGGTTATAAGGGGATGGGGGGATTAAAGGGGGCTATGAAGGAGAGGGGGCTATGGGGGGGTTAAAGAATGGGGGTTATGAAGGGGATGGGGCTATGGGGGGGTTAAAAGATGGGGGGTTATGAAGGGGATGGGGCTATGGGGGGGTTATGAAAGATGGGGGGTTATGAAGGGGATGGGGCTATGGGGGGGTTATGAAAGATGGGGGGTTATGAAGGGGATGGGGCTATGGGGGGGTTAAAGGGGGCTATGGGGGGTCTAAGGGGCTATGGGGGGGTTAAAGGAGATGGGGGGGCTATGAAGGGGATGGGGGGGATTTGGGGGGGTTATGAAGGAGATGGGGGGGTTATGAAGGGGATGGGGCTATGGGGGGTTATGAAAGAGATGGGGGGTTATGAAGGGGATGGGGGGGATTTTGGGGGGTTATGAAGGGGATGGGGCTATGGGGGCGTTATGAAGGAGATGGGGGGTTATGAAAGGGGGGGATCTGGGATGGGTTTAGGAACATTCATGGCCACACTGAGATATAAAATAGGGGTGAGGCTTGGGGGGGGGCACCCCAAAGCCATGCCCCCCTCCCCAAAACATCCCTCACCCCATCTCTTACACCCCCAAATACCCCCCCCTCGTCCAGGATCAGTGAAGTGGAGCCTAAGTACTATGCAGATGGGGAGGACGCCTATGCCATGAAGAGGGATCTCACCCAAATGGCAGATGAGGTATTAACACACACCCCCCCAGGACCCCACCAAACCCTGTTTTGGGGGGGGGAGGGTGCCTGCCCCCCAAGACCCCTTTTAAGCCTCTATTGACCCCCCAAACCTCTGTGACCCCCTTTCAGCTGCGGAAGCAGGTGGAGCAGAAAGAACGTGGCCGCCCCCCACCTCCCAGTGAGCCCCCCCGGGCTGGGGAAGGGGGTTGTGGTAGTGGGGGTGGGGGGCCCCCCCAACCTGTGCCCCCCCCTCCTGAAGATGGGGGTCCCGACAGCAAAGACGTCAGCGAGGTCAGTGAGACCACCGAGAGCACCGACGTCAAAGACAGCTCCGAGGCCTCGGACTCTGCTTCATAGGGACCCCCCCTTGGGCACCCCCAAACCTGGGGACCCCCCCTTGGTGCTGGGGGGGGGGGCAATAAACCCCCTTCCCCTCTGTGATGATTCTCTGTGTCCCCCCCATTATGGGGGTGCTTGGGGCTGTATGGGGGGGTGTGGGGTGATTTGGGGGGGGGTCTCATTTGGGGCTTGTTCTGCCCCTTCCCTCATGGGGGGGGTGTGGTCACATTGGCCACGCCTCCTTTGATGTTGGAGGCGTAGCCTTTGCAGCTCCCTCGCCCTGATTGGCTGAGACGCTGGTTATGGCGCCCCCATGTGGTAGCGAGGGGAGCTGCTGCTGCTGAGCCGGCTCAGCCCCCCCCCTCCCATTGCACCCCATGGCCGCCTCCAGCCCCCCAATTACACCCCATGGCGGTCTCTAGTGCGCCAATAGGGGTCGCCCTGCCCACCTATTGGCAACCGCTGTCAAGTGGGCGGAGCAACGCCGTGACCGGACAGCCAATCAGCACAGCTTTTTGGCGGGTAATGGTGGCGGGAGGGAAGCACGTGTCCTGAGGGGGGGGTCCACGTGTCGAGGCGCGAACCGAACCCCCCCCCCCAAGTGAGCCCCATGGGGGGGCTGGGACCCCACTTTAGCTGCCTCTATGAGGGCTCAGGATCCCCCCAAAAGCCTCCACTTAGGGGCATTGGACCCCCCCAGCACCCAGCAGGATGCTCATGAGCCCCCCCGGGCCTCATTGAGGTTGAGGACCCCCCCCAAAAGGATGCAGCCCCCCCCTTCTATGTCAATAGAGTCCAATACACAACAATGGGGCTGATTCACCCCCCCCCCCCCAACAGGATGCAAAGGGCCCCTCCTATCTCCTATGGGGGCCAAGGGGGGGCTGTTTGGCACCCACAGGGCCCCTGACCTTTCTATGGGGACCTTCCCCAGGGGCAGGAAGCGGCTGCGACAGAGAAGGGAGATGGGAGGGAAACAGCCCCCCCCCACCCCCCATAACCCCCCCCCCCAACTCACCCCTAACCCCCCCCCATCACAATCACTCGGGGAGACCATTTCTATGGCTGTATGTACATAGAGGCCCCCCAAAATCCCATGGGGGGGGCACATATAATCACTGCCACCCCCCCAGCACAATATGGGGGTGCAGTTCAATAGGCCCCACTGAACCCCAATTAATGGGGGGGAGTCAAAATACATTAAGGGGGGGTCATTTTGGGGGGTCCCCCCTCTTTATGTGAGCCAAGCCAGTGCTAAATAGAGCCCCAACGCCAGCGCCGCCGTGGGGCCCCCCCCGTCCCCCCAAGCCACCGGTACCAGCACCGCCAATGCCAACAGCACCCCACAACCCCGCAGGGCCCCCCCCAACCCCCTGCCCCGGGGGGGGGCCCTGGCCGGTACCAAGAGCGCCCCTTCCACCGGCCCCCCCCTCCCCAATAAAACGGGGGGGCTACGGCGGCCCCCCCCGGCTTCGTAATGCAACGCCATCTCATTGGCTAAGGAGGTGTTGGGGGCTCGCTCCGGTAATGGGGGGGCCCCGTTTCGGGGGGGGGGCTCCCCGTTATCACCGGGCTCCCCCCGTTGCCGTCGGAGGTGGGAGAGGTAAAGCAGCTCCAGCTCCCGCGCCACCGCCTCCTCCTCAGCACCCTATGGGATGGGATGGGGGGGGGAGGAATTGTGGGGTACCCCCTTCTTTTGGGCTACCCCTTTTATAGGGGGGGTACCCCGCTTTTAAAGGGGGGGGTTGTATCTCACCTGTATAAGGGGCTGCTCTGCATCCGGGGGGGGTGTTGGGGGTGGGTCAGGCTCTGTGGGATGGAAGAGGGGTGAAGTGGGGGGGGCCCCATATGGGGTGCCCCTAAAGTTGGGGTGTGAGCATCATCATGGGGAGTACCCCCCAATGGGTGGCTTATAATGGGGGGCACCCCTAAAATTGGGGTGGGAGCATCATCATGTGGGGTACTGCCCCCAAAGGGAAACTTATAGTGGGGGTACCCCTAAAATTGGGGGGTACCCCTAAAATTAGGGGAGTACCTCTAATATTGGGGGGTACCCCCCAAATTGCTATGGGGGGGTTCTACTTACCCATATGGTGGTCAGGGGGTGGGGGCTGCACATCCTCTGCCTCCTGTGGCCTTTTGAGGGGGTACGGGGGGGGTCACCATAAAAGCCCCCCCATAAAACAGGGGTGGGGGGGGCATCATCTGCAAACCACCCCCCCAACCCCTATTTGGGGACCTCATCCATTCAAAGGGGGGGGTCCCAAAGATGCCCAAGCCCCCCCTTCCCTCATTTAGGGGTGCACATGCAGGGAGGGAGGGGGGGGGGAATGACCCCATTTGGGGGGACCCCCCCATGCGGTTTAAGCCCCCCCTCCCCCATAGCTCTTACCTGCCCTTCCCAGGCCTCATCCAGCTCCCGGGGGGCTGCTCGCCCCCCTCGCCCCATTCCCCCCCCCAAACCCCCCCCATCCCGATCCCCCCCCCTCCCACCGGGTGCCCCCCCCTCCCTCGGGGGTCCCAGGGCCGGTATTGCCGCAGGCGAGCGAGGGGCAGCCCCAAAGCATCAGCGAACAGGACCCTCCGGGACCCCCCCACCCCGGGGGGGGCCTCGGGGTGTCCCGGAGGGGGGGTCCAAGAGTCCCGGATGGGGAAGGGGATAGGGATGGGTGGGGGGGTGCAGAGCCCGTCGGGGCTATGGGGTGAGGGGGGGGCACGTGTGGGGCTGGAAGGGGGGAGCGAGGGGTGTGGGGCAGGTTGGGGGGAGCCCCCCCCCGCGCGCGGGGCATGCCGGGAGTCCGGCCACGGAGGGGGGGGCGCCGCCGCGGCGGCGGAGGCGGGTGAGCGCGCCATGGCGGGAGGGGGCGGAGCCTGCGCGGAAAGGGGCGGGGCCGGAGTCTGCGCGGAGGGGAGGCGGGGCTTGGTGAAAGGGGGCGTGGTGGGAGGGTGGGGTAGAGAGAGATGTCAATGGTGAGTGGGCGTGGCATACGGGTGCGGTGGGCGGGGTTTAGGGAGAAAGGGGCGAATCCTTAAAGGCGCTGGGGACTGGAACCGGCGCGGCGAAGGCGGGGTTTGCACGGAGGGGGCGTGGTTTGTGCTGAAGGGAGGGGCCCGTTTGGGGGGCGTGGTCTAGTGACGGGTGGGCGGGGCCTATTGGGGTCCCTCCGTGGTGGCGGGAAAGGGCAGCGTGGGTCTGAAAGTGGGGCAAGATGGAAGCCCCCCCCTCCGTGGTGTCTGTATTTGGGGGGGGGGTCCTCAATGGGGTGGGTGCATTGGAGAGGGGGTGTTAAAGGCACACGGGGTTTGGGTGGCCCCACACATATATGGCCCCCCCCTTGGTCCCCATCACCCCTTTGTGATTCCCCCCCCCCATAGGCACCAAGTGAGCCTTTGGGGCTCTGCTCCTTCACCCCCCCCCATCCCTATTTGGTCCCCCCCAAGACCCCCCCCCATTAAAGAGGGGGAGGGTTCTTTGACATCATTGGGGTGGGGGATAAAAGCGGGGTTCCGCGGGTGGGGCTGGCAGCGAGCAGGGCGCTGCTGGTGAGTGGGTTATCGGGTGGGGGGGGGGGCACCCCAACATCCCCTTGCATGAGGATTGGGGGGGGCTTTGCACCATGGGGGGGTCCATATGTCCCTATTGGGGGGGGGAGGAGTTGGTGGTCATGGTCCCTCCCCCCATTTCCCTGTCTCTAAGGGCAAGTTTCACCTCGGAGGGAGGGGGGGAAATCCAACCCCCCCCCGAAAGCAGGAGCAGTTTTGGGTGCAAACAGAGCGGATTTGGGGTCAAAAAAGCCAAATACCATCAAAACCAGACACTTTCGGGTGCGCTAAAAGGGCAGGAACTGGGGCCTGGGGCTCAAAACCCCTTTTTGGGGGGGGGAAAGGGGGAGGGGGGTTTACGCTTTCTAAGCTGGGGGGGGGGCGGCAATTTTGGGGCCATTTCGTGGCGTTTTGGGGTTCGGGGTTGAGGCGCGTTTGCCGACAGTGATTTTTGGGGTGATTTAGGGAGTTTTGGAGTGTTTGGACACAGGAATTGGGGGGAGGAAGCCTTGTTCTGGGGTGTCAGCATCTGGATGCTTCAAGGGGGCATTGCCCCTCATTTTGGGGTGATTTTCCTCATTTTATGATGTTTCTCCTCATTTTGGGGTGTTTTTTCTTAGTTTGGGGTGATTTACCTCATTTTGGGGTGTTTTTCATTAGTTTGGGGTGTTTATCCTCATTTTGGGGTGCTTTTCCTCAGTTTGAGGTGTTTATCCTCTTTTGGGGGACTTTTTCTTCAGTTTGGGATGTTTATCCTCATATTGGGGTGATTTTCCTCATTTTGGGGTGTTTCTCCTCATTTTGGGGTGATTTTCCTCATTTTGGAGTGTTTTTCCTCATTTTGGGGTGATTTTCCTCATTTGGGGTGTTTTTTTGCTCACTTTGGGGGTGTTTCTCCTTATTTTGGGGTGTTTCTACCTACTGTTTTGGGGCATTTGTCTCCTTTTTGCCATGTTTCCATCAATCAATTTAAGGTTGTTTTTAACCCCTCATTTTGGGGTCTTTCACCTCATTTTGGGCTGACTTTGGCCCATTTCGGGTGTCACGGAGGACCCATTTGGGGATATTTCTCTTCATTTTGGGGTCTCTCTTCCTGCCCTCTTTGGGGTGTTTCGAGCTGATCTTTTGGGGTTATTTCACCCCATTTCGAGGTGTCTTTAATGCCTGGTTTAGGGGGTCTGTGTCTGGCCATTTTGGGGCCATTTCCGCTCATTTTGGGGCATCTTTAACGAATTCAAGACCCTTTTTGGGGCTGTTTCTATGGGGTTTGGGCTGTTTCTCCCTCCCTGTTCCACGTTGCCTCTATCCGGCCATTTTAAGGTGTTTGTGCCCTCATTTTGGGGCGCTTCCCCTCATTTTGGGGTGGTTTTAGCCGATTTCAGGTGTTTCTAAGGGCCCTTTTTGGGGCGTTTCTCCTCATTTTGGGGTGTCTTTGCCTGCCTTATTTGGGGCGTTTCTTCCTGCTCTTTTGGGGCCATTTCACCCCATTCTGAGGCTGCTCACTGGGGTGTCCGTTCGCAGCCATTTTGGGGCGTTTCTGTGCATTTTGGGTCTTTCTCTGCGTTTTGGAGGTATTTCGGTGCATTTTAGGGTATTTGTGTGCATTTTGGGCGCATTTCTTTGCATTTAGGGCATTTCTTTGCATTTTCGGGATATTTCTCTGCATTTTGAGGTATTTCCATGCTTTTGGGGGTATTTCTGTCCATTTTGGGCTACTTCGGTGCAGTTGTGCGTATTCCTGTGCACTTTGAGGTATTTTAGTGCATTTTGGGGTATTTGTGTGCATTTTGGGAGCATTTCTTTGCATTTAGGGTATTTCTTTGCATTTTCGGGATATTTCTGTGCATTTTGGGGTGTTTCTTTGTATTTTGGGGTATTTCTTTCCATTGTAGGGTGTTTCTGTGCATTTTTGGGCTGTTTCTGTGCATTTTGAGGCTATTTCCATGCACTTTACGGTATTTCTGGGCTTTTGAGGGTATTTCTGTTCATTTCTGTGCATTTGGGGCTATTTCGGTGCATTTCGGGGTATTTCTGAGCGTTTTGCGGCATTTCTGCGCAACTTTGGGTTATTTCTGTGCATTTTGGGGTATTTTCATGTATTTCAGTGCATTTTGGGGTATTTTGGTGCATTTTGGAGTCTTTCTCCGCATTTTGAGCTATTTCTGTGCATTTCGGGGTATTTTCGTACCTTTTGGGGTATTTCTGTGCTTTTTGAAGTATTTCTGTCTATTTGGGAGGTATTTCTGTGCAATATTTTGGCATTTCTATGCATTTTGGGGTTTTTCTACGCATTTTAGGCAACTTCTGTCTAGTTTGGGCTATTTTTGCCCATTTTGGGGGAATTTCTATGCATTTTGGGGTTGTTTCTGTGCTATTTGGTGTGTTTCTGTGAATTTTGGGGTATTTCAGCTCATTTTGGGGTATTTCAGCCCGTTTTGGGGTGTTTAAGCCCATTTCGGGGTATTTCTGCCCATTTTTGGCTGTTTCAGCCCATTTTGGGGGGTATTTCAGCCCATTTTTGGCTGTTTCAGCCCATTTTCGGGGGTATTTAAGCCCATTTTTGGCTGTTTCAGCCCGTTTTGGGGTATTTATGCCCATTTTTTGTGTGTTTCAGCCCATTTTTGACTGTTTCACCCCATTTTGGGGTATTTCAGCCCATTTTCGTCAGTTTCACCCCATTTGGGGGTATTTATGCCCATTTTTTGTGTGTTTCAGCCCATTTTTGGCTGTTTCACCCCATTTTGGGGTATTTCAGCCCATTTTTGGCTGTTTCAGCCCATTTTGGGGGGTATTTCAGCCCGTTTTCGTCTGTTTCACCCCATTTGGGGGTATTTATGCCCATTTTTGGTGTGTTTCAGCCCATTTTCGGCTGTTTCAGCCCATTTTGGGGGTATTTCAGCCCCTTTTTGTCTGATTCACCCCATTTTGGGGTATTTATGCCCATTTTTTGGTGTGTTTCAGCCCATTTTTGGCTGTTTCAGTCCGTTTTGGGGTATTTCAGCCCATTTTTGGCTGTTTCAGCCCATTTTTGGCTGTTTCAGCCCGTTTTGGGGGGTATTTCAGCCCATTTTTGTCTGTTTCACCTCATTTTGGGGGGTATTTCAGCCCATTTTTGGCTGTTTCAGCCCATTTTTGGCTGTTTCACCTCATTTTGGGGGTATTTCAGTCCATTTTTGGGGTCCGGGGCTGTTTGGGGCTCCCCCTCCCCGCCCCTCCCCGTGACTCAGGGCTGGGGTTTCCTGTCCAGGACCCAGCGCTGGAGGCACCGCGGGCAGCAGGAGCCATGGCCGGGGCCCGGGACCCGTGAGCGGCGCCCGGGGGGGGCACTGGGGGGGACTGGGATGGACTGGGATGGATTGGGAGGGCACTGGGATGGATTGGGAGGGCACTGGGATGGATTAGGGAGGATTGGGATGCATTGGGATGGACTGGGATGGATTGGGAGGGCACTGGGGGGGATTAGGATGGACTAGGGTGGATTGGGAGGCGTTGGGATGGAGTGGGATGGATTGGGAGGGCACTGGGATGGACTAGGGTGGATTGGGATGCATTGGGATGGACTGGGATGGATTGTGAGGGCACTGAGATGGACTGGGGTGTATTGGGATGGATTGGGGTGGACGGGGATGGATTGGGAGGGCACTGAGATGGGCTGGGAGGGCACTAGGATGGACTGGGGTGGATTGGGATGCATTGGGATGGACGGGGATGGATTGGGAGGGCACTGGGATGGGCTGGGAGGGCATTGGGATGGACGGGGATGGATTGGGAGGGCACTGGGATGGACTGGGGTGGATTGGGATGCATTGGGATGGACTAGGATGGATTGGGAGGGCACTGGGATGGACTGGGGTGGATTGGGAGGCATTGGGATGGATTGGATGGCATTGGGATGGACTGAGATGGGAGGGCACTGGAATGGGTTGAGAGGGCACTGGAAAGGACTGGGGTGGATTGGGATGGACTGGGAGGGTACTGGGATGCATTGTGATGGACTGGGAGGGCACTGGGATGGTTGCTCCATAAAGCCCCTATGGACGTGGCCAGTGGGTACCAATGGGGACCAGGATTGGGCCCCGTCCATGCCAGAAGGGGGGAACCGGAAGGTACCACAGTGACGGGGGGGGGGGGGGCACACGTTGGGATGTGCCAATGGCGGATATATGGGGGGATGGGGGGATTTGGGGTTCGAGGGGGGAGGGGTCTCACACATCCCCCTCCCCCCCCCCAGGCATCGCCGCCCCCCCCGCAGCCCCCAGGATCGCCCCACGGTGCTGACCCACGGGGACCCCCAGCGCACACAGGTTGGGGGGAGGGGGGGCAGAGCCCCATATTGGGGTCCACAATGGGGGGGGGCAGGATTTGGGGGTTCACCTCTTTCTATCCCCCCCCATATATACACACATAGGTGCCACCCAAGGGGGGGTCGTGCCCCCACCTCCTGCACGTCCATCACCCCGGGGTGCTGGTGATGAGGACTCGGCTCCCCCCGGCGCATGGTAAAACCCCCCCATTGCACCCCTATATTGGGCTCCCCTCCTTTATCCCCCCCATTGTATCCTTATATTGGGGTCCCCTCCTTTATCCCCCCCAGTGCACCCCTATATTGGGGTCCCCCTGCTTTATCCCCCATTGCAACCCTATATTGGGGTCCCCCTTTTATACCCCCCATTAAACCCCTATATTGGGGTCCCCCTTTATCCCCCCCATTGCACCCCTATATTGGGGTCCCCCTCCTTTATCTCCCCCATTGCACCCCTATGTTGGGGTCCCCCCTTCACCCCCCCGTTACACCCCTATATTGGGGTCCCCTCCTTTATCCCCCCATTGCACCCCTATATTGGGGTCCCCCTGCTTTATCCCACCCATTGCACCCCTCTATTGGGGTCCCCCCCTTTTCTGACCCCCCCCAACCTCTTTCAGGTCTCCCCACAATTGAATGGGGCCCCAAAGACCCCCCCGGCCGTGACCGAGCCCCTTCACCCGCCCCCCCCAGCAATGACCCCCCCCAGCAGCCCCCCAGGTGAGCGAGGACCCACTTCGGGGGGGGGAACCCCCAAATCCTGGTTCCTCATTGACCCCCCCCATGTGCCCCCCCCCCCCAAGGGCTCCCCGTTGTGACCTGGGGGGGGTGGCTCAGTGCCTGCGGCAGCTGGAGCGGATCCAGGAGCTGGAGCAGCAGGTAAGGGGGGGCCCCAAAATCCACCCCCCCCATTGCCCCTCCATTGTCCCCCAAACCATCCCCCATTGCCCCCCCAAACTATCCCCCCCATTGCCCCTTCATTGAACCCCAAACCATCCCCCCATTGCCCCCCCAAACCATCTAACCAATTTAGTCCCCATTGCCCCCCAAACCATCTCCCCCCATTGCTACCCCCATTTCCCCCCAAACCATCCTCCCCTATTGCCCCTCCATTGACCCCCAAATCATCCCCATTGCTGCCCCCAAAACCATCCCCCCCATTGCCCCCCAAACCATCCCCCCATTGCCCCCAAACAATTCCCCCCATCTCCCCCATTGCCCCCCAAACCATACCCCCCATTACTCCCCATTGCCCCCCCAAACCATCCCCCCCATTGCCCCCCAAACCATCTCCCCCATTGCCCCCCACAAACCATCTCGCCCATTGCCCCCCACAAACCATCTCCCCCATTGCCCCCCACAAACCATCTTCCCCCATTGTCCCCCATTGCCCCCAAAACCATCTCCCTCCATTTCCCCCCAAACCATCTCCCCCATTACTCTCCATTGCACCCCAAAAACCCCATCTCCCCTCATTGCCCCCCAAAGCCAGTCCCCCATTACTCCCCATTGCCCCCCCAAACCATCTCATCCCATCTCCCCCCGTTGCCCCCCCAACATTCCCCCCATTACCCCCCAAACCATCCCCCAAATTGCCCCCCCAAACCATCTCCCCCATTGCTCCCCCATTGCCCCCCCCATCCCATGCGTGCCCCCCCCCAGCTTGCTCGCGAGCGCCACCGCCTGGGGCTGCTGCAGGCGCAGCTCATCCGGAGGGGCCCCCCCATTATGGTAAGGACCGGGGGGGGTAGGGACCCCAAACCAGGGGCTGGGCCCCCCCCAAGCTGCTGCCATCACCTCAATGCGTGTCCATTGCCCCCCCCTCCCCTTCCTCCAGGCCCCCCCCGGGAAGGGCCAGGTTGGGGTCCCCCCACTTTGGACCCCCAAAGCAGAGGGGGAGCCTGAGCCCCCCCCCCCGGCGCTCCCATTGGAGCAGGGGGGGCTCTGCCCAGGTGAGAGCTGGGGTTGGGGGGGGCATTGGGGGGCATTGGGGGGACCCCCCCCAAGTGATGGGGGGGGGTCAAGGGGCTGACCCCCCCTTTGCCCCGCCCCCCAGAGCTGGAGTATTACAGGGTCAGCACTGCCCGGCCCCCCTATACCTATGCCACGCTCATCCGATGGGTCAGTGACACCCCCTGTGTGCCCTATAGCCCCCCCCATGTGCCCTATAGACCCCATCTAGCCCCCCATGTGCCCTATAGACCCCCCTGTGTCCTCTATAGCCCCCCCATGTCCCCTATAGCACTTGCATATCTTCTATAGCCCCTACATGTTCCCTACGCACCCCCAATGTCCCCTATAGCCTCCCTATGTCCCTATAGCCCCCAATGTCTCCTATAGCCCCCGATGTCCCCATAGCCCCTCCATGCCCCTATAGCCCCCAATGTCCCCTGTAACTCCCAATATCCCCTATAGCCCCAATGTCCCTATAGCCCCCAATGTCCCTATAGCCCCCAATGTCCTCTATAGCCCCCTATGTCCTCGATAGCCACCAATATCCCCTATAGCCCCCAATGTCCCTATAGCCCCCAATGTCCCTATAGCCCCCAATGTCCCTATAGCCCCAATGTACCCTATAGCCCCCAATGTCCATATAGCCCCCAATGTCCCCTATAGCCCCCAATGTCCCTATAGCCCCCAATGTCCCCCATAGCCCTCAATGTCCCTATAGCCCCCAATGTCCTCTATAGCCCCCAATGTTCTCGATAGCCACCAATATCCCCTATAGCCCCCAATGTCCCTATAGCCCCCAATGTCCCCTATAGCCCCCAATGTCCCTATAGCCCCCAATGTCCCCCATAGCCCTCAATGTCCCTATAGCCCCCAATGTCCCCTATAGCCCCCAATGTCCCTATAGCCCCCAATGTCCCCTATAGCCCCCAATGCCCTCTATAGCCCCTATGTCCCTATAGCCCCTATATCCCTATAGCCCCCCATGTCCCCCATATCCCCCCCACATCCCCTATAGCCAAACTCTTGCCCCCCCCCCCAGGCGATCCTGGCCTCCCCCCAGCGGCAGCGCACCCTGGCCGAGATTTACCATTGGTTCAGCGGCACCTTCGGCTACTTCCGGCACAACGCGGCCACGTGGAAGGTGCCGACCCCCCCATTGGGACCCCCCCCCCTCCATAGGGAACCCCCCCCCCATTGGGATCCCCCCATAAGGAACACCCCCCATTGGGATCCCTCCATTGGGACCCCCCTCCCATTGGGACCTCCCTTATTGGGACCTCTCCATTGGGACCCCCCCATTGCGACCCCCCCCCCCATTGGGACCTCCACCATTGGGACCCCCCCCATTGAGACCTTCCCATTGGGACCTCCCCCATTGGAACCCCCCATAGGGACACCCCCCCATTGAGAACTTCCCATTGGGCCCCCCCATAGGGACCCTCCCATTGGGACCTCCCCTATTGTGACCCTCCTATTGGGACCTCCCCATTGGGGCCCCCCCCATTGGCACCTCCTCCATTGGAACCCCCCCAGTAGGGACCCCCCCATTGGGATTCCCCCCCCATTGAGACCTTCCCATTGGGACCCCCCCCAAGGGACCCCCCCACTGGGACCCCAATGCTGCCCCATAGTAAGCGGCACCCCCAAAGCACCCCATGGGGCCTCAACGATGCTCCAGCATCCCCATACTGGGAGTACCCCAAGTTCTCTCTATCACCTCTCTCCATCACCCCCCCTTCCGATTTGCCCCCCCCAAACCCCTTTAACCCCTCCCGGACCCCTATGGGGGGGGCGGACCCCAATTCTCCCCCCCGCCCCCCCCCAGAACGCCGTGCGCCACAACCTGAGCCTGCACAAATGCTTTGTGCGGGTGGAGAACGGGCGCGGGGCCGTGTGGACGCTGGATGAGAGCGAGGTCAGGAGCAAGAGGAGCCCCAGGTACCCCAAAACGGACCCAAAATGGACCCGAACTGACCCAAAACAGCCCAAAACGGACCTAAACTGATCCTAAACGGACCCGAACTGACCCAAAACGGACCTGAACTGATCCAAAATGGACCCAAACTGACCTAAAACGGACCTAAACTGATCCAAAACAGACCCAAACCGGACCTAAACTGATCCAAAACAGCCCAAAACGGACCTAAACTGACCCAAAACGGACCCAAACTGACCTAAAACGGACCTAAACTGATCCAAAACAGACCCAAACTGACACAAAACGGACCTAAACTTATCCAAAACAGCCCAAAACGGACCCAAACTGACCCAAAACGGACCTAAACTGATCCAAAACAGACCCAAACTGACCCAAAACGGACCCAAACTGACCCAAAACGGACCTAAACTGATCTAAAACGGACCCAAACTGACCCAAAACGGACCAAACCGGCCCAAAACGGACCCAAACTAGCCCCCAAATGCCCCAAAAGCAGCCCAAAACTTCAGAACAGACCCAAACCAGACCTAAACTGACCCCAAATTTAAACTGCCCCAAAACAGCCCAAACCTGCCCCTAAACCAGTCCAAAACTACCCCAAAACCAGCCCAAAACTGCCCCAAAACCACCCCAAATCATCCCGAAATTGCCCCAAAACCACCCCAAAACCTCCTTTTGCCCCCCCATTAAACAAGGCCCCCTCTAACCCCCCCTTTTCCCCTCCAGGGACTGCGACCTGAAGTGCTTTGTGCCCCCCCAGAGCTAAAGGGGGGCCCCCCCAAACCCCACTGATGTAAATGGGAACCAGAGCTGGGTGGGGTCCCCCTAAACCCCCCCCCCCAAAGCAATAAACACGCCCCCCCCACGGCTGCATTGGGCTCTATTGGACGCGCTCAGGATCGGCCCCGCAATGGGGGAGGCGGGGCTTTGGAGAGGGGCGGGGTTTGGAAGGGGCGGGGTTTTGGAAGGGGGCGGAGTCAGCGGCGGGGCCGCGCCGCCAGCGCCGCGTTCTCCTCCCGCAGCGCCCGGCAGTCGCTGAGGATGCGCTCGAGGGTGGCGGGGGGCTTGGAGCTGGTCTCGGCCTCGATCTGGGGGGGAAAGGGGGGTAAAGGGGGGAGAAATTGGGGGTAAAGGGGGCAAAAAGGGGGCGAAATTGGGGGCAAATGGGGTAAAATGGGGAGAAATTGGGGTAAAGGGGGGCAAAATTGGGGGTAAAGGGGTGAAATTGGGGGTAAAGGGGAGTGAAAGGCGGGTGAAATTGGGGGTAAAGGGGGGCAAAAGAGGGAGATGGGGAAAAGGGGGGAAGGGGTGGAAATGGGGGAAGGGAGGCAAAAGGGAGAAATTGGGGATAAAATGGGGAGATGGGGAAAAGGGGGGCAAAAGGGGGGGAGATGGGGAAAGGGGAGGAAGGGGTGGAAATGGGGAGAGGCAAAAGGGGGGAGAAATTAGGGGTAATGGGGGGAGATGGGGGAAAAGGGGGCAAATGGGGGCAAAAGGGGGGGTGAAATTGGGGGTAAAGGGGGCAAAAGCAGGGGAGATGGGGAAAGGGGAGGAAGGGATGGAAATGGGGGAAGGGAGGCAAAAGGGGGGAGAAATTTGGGGTAAAGGGGGGCAAAAGGGGGGCAGATGGGGAAAAGGGGGGGAAATGGGAAGGGAGGCAAAAAGGTGGGAGAAATTTGGGGTAAAGGGGCAAAAGGGGGGAGATGGGGGAAAGGGGGAAGGGGTGGAAATGGGGGGGAGGCAAAAGGAGGGGAGAAATAGGGGGAAAAGGGGGAGATGGGGAAGGGGTGGAAATGGGGAGAAGAGAGGCAAAAGGGGGGAGAAATTGGGGGTAAAGGGGAGCAAAGGGGGGGAGATGGGGAAAAGGGGGAAGGGGTGGAAATGGGGGGGAGGCAAAAGGGAGAAATTGGGGGTAAGGGGGTAAAAGGGGGGAATAGGGAGAAAAGGGTTGGGGCAAAAGGGTTTGGGGGTGAAGTTTGGAGGGGCAAAGAGTTGGGGGTCAAAGGGGGCGGCAAAGGGATTTTGAGGGGCAAAAAGTTGGGGGGTGAAGGGTTTGGGGGTGAATTTGGGGGGGCACAGAGATAGGGGAACACAAGTCAATTGAAGCCCCATAAACACAGGGGGCACCCCAATAGATGTGGGGACCCCCATAGGGCCCCCCTAATTACCCCCAAACCCCCACCTGCTCCTCCAAGTCCCGGATCTCCCTCTGGATGGTGCCTGTGTCCTCAATGGTCTGGATGAGCTGGGCACAGTTCTGTGGCAAAGGGGGGCAGAAAGGGGGGGGTCAGGGACCCCCCCATTCCATCTGCACCCCAAAACCCCCCCATAGCCTCCCATTACCTCATGCAGAGCTGCCAGGTACTTGTAGGCCTTCCTCACCACCTCGTCCCTCTTGGCATCCTGGGGGGCACAGGGGATAACTTGGGGGCATAGGGGACAATTTGGGGGGCACAAGTGACAATGGGGGGGGTCCCAGTGCCCCAAACTCACCCCTTTCCAGTAGGGGCATCTATAGAGGGGACATGGAGCACCCCAAGTGTATAGGACCCCAGATGTATATGGAGCCCCCCAAGTGCATATAGGCCCCCCAAGTGCATATGGGCCTCCTAAGTGTATATAGGCCCCCCAAGTGCATACAGGCCCCCCAAGTGTGGGGCACCCCACCTTGAAGAGCAGCTCATCGGTGACACTGAAGGTCCTCTCCAGCTTCCCCACCAAGGAGTTGATCTCCTTCTGCAGCGCCCTTGTATCCACCAGGATCTGTTGGGGGGGGTACGGACACCCCATCATGTGTGGGGCACCCCCAAATCCCCCCCCTCCCCCTTCCCCAAACACCCCCTTAGGGTCCAGTGGTACCCAACACCCGAAGATGCTCCCTTTGAAGCTGATTTAGGGTCCCCAAACCCCTCCAAAAGGCTTGGGGGTGCCCCCAAAACCTCTGCCCCCCCAATGTGTATTGGGGACCCCCCCCCCCCAACCTTGCTGATCTCCTCCTTCTGCTTCCGGATGTTGCCCACGATCTCCAGGATGCGCTGGGTGTAGACGGCGCGGGAGACGTCGCGGGGCAGCGCTTCCAGCTCCGCCACCTGCATCCATAGGGATGGAGGGGATCGCGTCCATGGGGAGAGGAGGGATGGGATTGCATCCGTAGGGATGGATGGGACCGCAGCCATAGGGAGAGGATGGATGGGATCGCAGCCATAGGGATGGATGGGATCGCAGCCATAGGGAGAGGATGGATGGGACCGCAGCCATAGGGAGGGATGGGATTGCAGCCATAGGGAGAGGATAGATGGGATTGCATCCGTAGGGATGGATGGGACCGCGTCCATAGGGAGAGGATAGATGGGACTGCATCCATAGGGAGAGGGTGGATGGGATTGTAGCCATAGGGATGGATGGGATTGCATCCATAGGGAGAGGATAGATGGGATTGCATCCATGGGGAAGGGATATATAGAACTGCATCCATAGGGATAAGCTAGAATTGCACCCATAGGGATCTATAGAACTGCATCCATAGGGATAAGCTGGAATTGCGTCCATAGGGAAGGGATATATAGAATTGCATCCATAGGGATCTACAGAACTGCATCCATAGGGATAAGCTGGAATTGCATCCATAGGGAAGGGATATATAGAACTGCATCCATAGGGATAAGCTGGAATTGCATCCATAGGGAAGAGATATACAGAATTGCATCCATAGGGATATACAGAATTGCATCCATAGAGATAAGCTGGAATTGCATCCATAGGGAAGGGATCTATAGAATTGCACCCATAGGGATCTATAGAATTGCATCCGTAGGGATAAGCTGGAATTGCATCCACAGGGATCTACAGAACTGCATCCATAGGGATAAGCTGGAACTGCATCCATAGGGATAAGCTGGAATCGCATCCATAGGGAAGGGATCTATAGAATTGCATCTGTAGGGAAGGGATCTATGGAATTGCATCCATAGGGAAGGGATCTATAGAACTGCATCCATAGGGATCTATAGAACTGCATCCATAGGGATCTATAGAACTGCATCCATAGGGATAAGCTGGAATCGCATCCATAGGGATCTACAGAATCGCATCCATAGGGATAAGCTGGAATCGCATCCATAGGGATCTACAGAATCGCATCCATAGGGATAAGCTGGAATCGCATCCATAGGGAAGGGATCTATAGAATTGCATCCATAGGGATAAGCTGGAATCGCATCCATAGGGATCTATAGAATTGCATCCATAGGGATAAGCTGGAATCGCATCCATAGGGATCTATAGAACTGCATCCATAGGGATAAGCTGGAACTGCATCCATAGGGATCTACAGAACTGCATCCATAGGGAAGGGATCTATAGAACTGCATCCATAGGGATAAGCTGGAATCGCATCCATAGGGATCTATAGAATTGCATCCATAGGGATCTATAGAACTGCATCCATAGGGATCTACAGAACTGCATCCATAGGGAAGGGATCTATAGAACTGCATCCATAGGGATAAGCTGGAATCGCATCCATAGGGATCTATAGAACTGCATCCATAGGGATAAGCTGGAATCGCATCCACAGGGAAGCGACAGCCGGAGCCGGAGCTCACCAGGGTCCTGTAAAGCTCCTCCTTGCGCCGGGCTTCATCCGCGGCCGAGCGGCTCCGCTCGTGCAGGGCCCGGATCTCCGAGAGGCGCCGCGATGATTCCAGCTGGAACGGGGGGGATGGGATCAGGGAGGGCCCAAATCCATTGGGGGGGGGGGGGGGCAGAGATCCCAAAGTGCAGCAGGGAGGGGCTCCAGAGGCCCTTAAACCCCCTGGGAGGGAGGCAGAAGCATTGGGAATGGGACATGGGAGCCTTGAATCCATTGGGAATGGGACATGGGAGCCTTGAATCCATTGGGAATGGGACACTGGAGCCTTGAATCCATTGGGAATGGGACATGGGAGCCTTGAATCCATTGGGAATGGGGCATTGGAGCCTTGAATCCATTGGGAATGGGACATTGGAGCATCAAAACCATTGGGAATGGGACATTGGAGCACCAAAACCATTGGAAATGGGACATGGGAGCATCGCAGCCATTAGGAATGGGAGATTGGAGCCTCAAAATCATTGGGAATGGGACTTTAGAGCCTTGAATCCATTGGGAATGGGACACTGTAGCCTCTAAACCATTGGGAATGGGACATGGGAGCACCAAACCCATTGGGAATGGGACATTGGAGCCTTGAATCCATTGGGAATGGGACATGGGAGCCTTGAGTCCATTGGGAATGGGATATTGGAGCCTCTAAACCATTGGGAATGGGACATTGGAGCCTTGAATCCATTGGGAATGGGACATGGGAGCCTTGAATCCATTGGGAATGGGACATTGGAGCCTTGAATCCATTGGGAATGGGACATGGGAGCCTTGAATCCATTGGGAATGGGACATTGGAGCCTTGAGTCCATTGGGAATGGGATATTGGAGCCTCTAAACCATTGGGAATGGGACATGGGAGCCTTGAATCCATTGGGAATGGGACATGGGAGCCTCAAATCCATTGGGAATGGGACATTGGAGCCTTGAATCCATTGGGAATGGGACACTGGAGCCTTGAATCCATTGGGAATGGGACATTGGAGCCTTGAATCCATTGGGAATGGGACATGGGAGCACCAAACCCATTGGGAATGGGACATTGGAGCCTTGAATCCATTGGGAATGGGACATGGGAGCACCAAACCCATTGGGAATGGGACACGGGAGCACCAAACCCATTGGGAATGGGCCCCAAATTGAGCCCCAGGCACCCCAAAACCCTCCCAAGGAGGGAACTGGGCACCCCGAAAGCACAAATAAAGGGACCCCAGGGACCCCAAAACCACCCTGAAGGGTCCCCTTTACCTGGGCTGAGTCCCGCAGGGCCCGGAGGTGCCGGTACTGGGCGAGGAGGGGGCCCCGGTGCCGTTCCCATTGCCCTGCCAGGCTCACGATGCGGCGCCCGCTCGCCTCCACCACCAGCTGGGAACAGGGTCAGGGCACCCCAAAACTCTCCTTACCCCCCCCATTCACCTCTATAGTAACCCCCCCTCCCCAAAACCACTATAGTAACACCCCTCCCCTCCCCAAACCAATTTAAACCCCGTTTATGGCCTCAAATAGCATCAAACGCACCCCCCCAAAGAGTTTTTGGGGGGTCCCCCCCCAAAGCCTCACCTGAAGCTTGGCCATGTTGCTCTGAGCATCAGGGAGCAGCTCAATTGCTTGTTGCTTCAAGCGAAGAGCATCCTCTCTCCCCCCCAGGGCCAAGCGGCGCTGCTGCACCTCTGCTTCTGCCTTTTGGGGGGGGGGGGCAAATATAAGCAGGGTACCCCAAAACCACCCCCACCCCCCCATTACCCCCCTGTGGTACCCACCTGGGTGAGGCTGAGCTGAGCATCCCGCATCTCCGCGCGGCATCCTTCAATGGCAGCATCCAACTGGGCCAGGGTCTGCTCCAGAGCTGCCTCCTCGCTGGCCTGACGGGCTCCTGCGTCCTATGGGTGGGCATCAGTAGGGTTCAGGGTGAACAACACCCAAGGGACCCAGTGGTAGGGTCCAGAACACCCCCCCTATGGACCCGTTGGTAGGGTCCAGACCATGGTTGTGGCCGTCAGTAGGGTTCAGAGTGAACAACACCCAAAGGACCCCTTGGTAGGGTCCAGAACACCCCCTATGGACCCATTGGTAGGGTCCAGACCATGGTTGTGGCCATCAGTAGGGTCCAGAGTGAACACCCCCCTATGGACCCATTGGTAGGGTCTAGAACATGGTTGTGGTCATCAGTAGGGTCCAGAGTGAACACCCCCCAGTGGACCCACTGGTAGGGTGCAGACTGAACACCCCCTAATAGACCCATTGGTAGGGTCCAGCCCATGGTTGTGGCCATCAGTAGGGTCAAGAGTGAACACCCCCCAGTAGACCCGTTGGTAGGATCCAGAGTGAACACCCCCTGCCCCCGAGTGGACCCATGGGCAGGGTCCAGACCATGGTTGTGGCCATCAGTAGGGTCCAGAGTGAACACCCCCCAATGGACCCATTGGTAGGGTCCAGAGTGAACACCCCCCCAACAGACCCATTGGTAGGGTCCAGAGTGAACACCCCCCAATGGACCCATTGGTAGGGTCCAGCCCATGGTTGTGGCCATCAGTAGGCTCCAGAGTGAACACCCCCATCCCCATCTCACCTCCTCAGCACCCTTTGACGGGTGCTGGGTCTCTGCAGCCACCTGGATCTGCTGCAGCAGGATCTGGGGGTCCTATAGGATGGAGCAGGTCAGATTCCAGAGTGGGGGGGGGGACACCCCAAAACCCAGCCCCCCAAGCCCAGCCCCTCACCTGCTCATGGGTCAGGTGCTGGGTACGGGTGAAGCGGGACCCCTTTGGCAGGGCCCCCCCGGACCCCCCAGCCCCAAAAGCCTCTTGGAGCCATGCAGGGTCCAAGGGGGGGCCTGGGGGCCGGGGGGGGCAGGCCTGGCGCAGGGGTTCCAGAGCCCGGAGCCGAGCACGAAGCCGCTTCCGACCCACATATTCCTATGGGGGGGGGAAGAAAAGGGGGGGAGGGGTGTTCAGCACCATAGGGACCCCCAAACCTCACCCTAAATGGGGGGTGGGGGCTTACCTGGGGGGGCAGACGAGAGGCCAAGCCGGGGCCCCCCCATTCAGCCTCCCAGTCATGGCGGGCGCTGAGCTGGGCCATGTGGGTCTCCAGTAAAGCTGGGGGGGTCCTGGTGCAAAGGGGGGGCTGCGCCGGCACGGGGGGGGCAGCACCCCCATAATACTCCTGCAGCTCTATAGGGATTAAGGGGGGGGGGGGCGGTGAGCACATTACATCAAAGGACCCCCCCAACAAATCCCCCCTCCACCCCCCCATAGCACTTACCTGGGGGGCCCCCACTTTGGGGCAGGACTAAGGGGCAGGTAGTGAAGGGATGGAGGCGACTTGTGCCCTAAGGGTTAATGAATGGGTTAATGCCCCACCCCCGCAATTAAAAGGGGTCCCCAATAACATAGGGGGGTCCCCAATGTGATGGGGGGGGCACTACTCACCTGCAGGCGCTGCAGAAGGGGGGTGCGACAAAGGGGGGGCACCCAGGGGGTCCCCAATTGCTCCCGGATGCGGGCGCCGATGGCTCGGAGCAGAGCCCCCGATTTCCCTTGGGAATAGGGGCATTAGGATGCTCAGACCCCCCCCTCCATTAACACCCCCCCCCATATCACATTGGGGACCCCCCCATATCCCTACCGGGGGGCTCGGTCCCGCTCTCGCTCTCATCCCGAGGGAGCTTTTCCACCAGGAAGAGGAGGAGGCGGCGGGTGTCGTGCTCGGAGCTGTAGAGGAAGGTCTGGTACCCAACGTCACCCCCAAAGCCCAGCTCCTGGTGGGGATACAGGGGGAAAATGGGGGTCCCTCCATCACTGTGGGGTCCCCCTTTAAGATACGGGAGGATTTAGGGGGTTACCAAGGTGTGGTACCCAACATCACCCCCAAATCCTATCTCTTAGTGATGAAGAGGGAGAATTGGGGGTCCCCCTTTAAGACATAGGGGTATTTGGGGGGGTACCAAGGTGTGGTACCCAACATCACCCCCAAATCCTATCTCTTAGTGATGATAAGGGGGAGAATTGGGGGTCCCCCTTTAAGACACAGGGGTATTGGGGGGGGTACCAAGGTGTGGTACCCAGCATCACCCCCAAATCCCAGCTCTTAGTGATGATAAGAGGGAGAATTGGGGGTCCCCCTTTAAGACATAGGGGTATTTGGGGGGGTACCAAGGTGTGGTACCCAACATCACCCCCAAATCCCAGCTCTTAGTGATGATAAGGGGGTAAATCAGGGGTCCCGCCATCATCTTTGGGGTCCCACTTTAGGATACAGGGGTATTTAGGTGGGTTCCAAGGTGTGGTACCCAGCATCACCTCCAAATCCCAGGTTCTGGAAAGGGAAATTGGGGGTCCCCCATCATTTTGGGGGTCCCCCTTTAAAATATGGGGGGTATTTCAGGGGGTACCAAGGTGTGGTACCCAACATCACCCCCAAATCCACCTCTTAGTGATGATAAAAGGAAGAATTGGGGGTCCCCCTTTAAGACATAGGGGTATTTGGGGGGGTACCAAGGTGTGGTACTCAACATCACCCCCAAATCCTAGCTCTTAGTGATGATAAGAGGGAGAATTGGGGGTCCCCCTTTAAGACATAGGGGTATTTGGGGGGTACCAAGGTGTGGTACCCAACATCACCCCCAAATCCCATCTCTTAGTGATGATAAGGGGGTAAATCGGGGGTCCCGCCATCATCTTTGGGGTCCCCCCCTTAAGATTTGGGGCTGTTTTGGGGGGTTTCGGGTACCTGGCAGGCAGCAGCCAGGTCGGAAGCGAGCCGGAAGCGTGCGGAGATGCCGGGGGGCAGGAGGGGGCTCAGGGGGGCCCCCAAAGTGGGGTTCACGGCTCGGAGGCACCGCACGGAGGCTTCCACCACCAGCTCCGGGGTGAGGTCCCGCACGCTCTGCACCTCGGGGGGCACCGCTCTAAAGGGGAGGGGGGCACAATCATGGGGACCCCCCTAGAGCACCCCCAAACCATGGGTGTCCATAGAGACACCCCCCCTCCCTCAACGCTCATCAGGGTCCCCCCTATTCTCATGCAGGGACCCCCAAACCTTCACTCGCAGCACCTAAGGGTGCCCCTCGAAAACCACCCCCCTCCCAAACGCTTTGGGGCTCCCCCCCACTAAACACCCCCAAACCCACCAGGGTGCCCCCCCCCGTTGTCCCCTCTCAATTCCTTATGGGGGTCCCCGCCCCACACCTCCAATCCCCCCTCCCAGACCCCCCCAAACGGCTTCAGTGCCCCAAATCCCACCCCGTTCAGCCCCAGAGCCCCCCAACACCCCCCCCTTTGCCCCCACTCACGTCCCCGCCTGCCGTAGGGAATGGATCAGGATCTTATCCACCTCCTCCATGTTGGGGGGATGCTGGGGGGGGGACACCCCCAAATCCTAATGTGGGGGGGCGTGTAAAGAGTTGGGGGGACCCCGATTTACCCGCGCCCCGCCGCCAGTCACGTGAGGCGGGGACGGCGGCGGAACCGAGGCGGGGGGAGCGCGGGGCATGATGGGAGTTGTAGTTCGGGGCGGGGCCGGCGGCGCGGGGCATGATGGGAGTTGTAGGCGGCGGGAGGCGGGAAACTGAGGGGGTGCGAGGGCGGGAAAACGGCGGCCGTGAGGGGGCAATGGAGGCTGTGAGGGAGCAATGGGGACCGTGAGGGGCAATGGAGACTGAGCGGCAATGGAGGCCGTGAGGAGGCAATGGAGGCCGTGAGGGGGCAATGGAGGCCGTGAGGAGGCAATGGAGGCCGTGAGGGGGCAATGGGGACCTTGAGGGGCAATGAGGACCATGAGGGGCAATGGAGACTGAGCGGCAATGGAGGCCGTGAGGAGGCACTGGAGGCCGTGAGGGGGCAATGGGGACCTTGAGGGGCAGTGGGGACCATGAGGGGCAATGGAGGCTGTGAGGGAGCAATGGGGGCCGTGAGGGGGCAATGGAGGCTGTGAGGGGGCAATGGGGACCATGAGGGGCAATGGAGGCTGTGAGGGAGCAATGGGGACCATGAGGGGCAATGGAGGCTGTGAGGGGCAATGGGGACCATGAGGGGCAATGGAGGCTGTGAGGGGCAATGGAGGCTGTGAGGGGCAATGGGGACCATGAGGGGCAATGGAGGCTGTGAGGGGGCAATGGAGGCTGTGGGGGGCAATGGAGGCTGAGCGGCAATGGAGGCCGTGAGGAGGCAATGGAGGCCGTGAGGGGGCAATGGGGACCTTGAGGAGCAATGGGGACCGTGAGGGGCAATGGAGACTGAGCGGCAATGGAGGCCGTGAGGAGGCAATGGAGGCCGTGAGGGGGCAATGGGGACCTTGAGGGGCAATGGGGACCATGAGGGGCAATGGAGGCTGTGAGGGAGCAATGGGGGCCATGAGGGGGCAATGGAGGCTGTGAGGGGGCAATGGAGGCTATGGGGGGTAATGGGGACCATGGGGGGCAATGGAGGCTATGGGGCTATGGGGGGTAATGGGGACCATGGGGGGCAATCGGGACCATGAGGGGCAATGGAGGCTGTGAGGGGCACTGGGGATCATGAGGGGGCAATGGGGGCGGTGGGGGGCAATGGAGGCTGTGAGGGGGCAATGGGGACCATGAGGGGCAATGGAGGCTGTGAGGGGCAATGGGGACCATGAGGGGCAATGGAGGCTGTGAGGGGGCAATGGAGGCTGTGGGGGGCAATGGAGGCCGTGAGGGGGCAATGGAGGCCATGAGGGGCAATGGAGGCCATGAGGGACGGGAGGCCCTGAGGGGCAATGGAGGCTGTGAGGGGCAATGGGGACCATGAGGGGCAATGGAGGCCATGAGGGGCAATGGAGGCTGTGAGGGGGCAATGGAGGCCATGAGGGGCAATGGAGGCCATGAGGGGCAATGGAGGCTGTGAGGGGGCAATGGAGGCCATAAGGGGGCAATGGAGGCCATGAGGGGCAATGGAGGCCCTGAGGGGCAATGGAGGCCGTGAGGAGGCAATGGGGGCCATGAGGGGCAATGGAGGCTGTGAGGGGCAATGGGGACCATGAGGGGCAATGGAGGCCATGAGGGGCAATGGAGGCGGTGAGGGGGCAATGGAGGCCATGAGGGGGCAATGGAGGCCATGAGGGGCAATGGAGGCCCTGAGGGGCAATGGAGGCCGTGAGGAGGCAATGGGGGCCATGAGGGGCAATGGAGGCCATGAGGGGCAATGGAGGCTGTGAGGGGCAATGGGGACCATGAGGGGGCAATGGAGGCTGTGAGGGACAATGCAGACTGAGTGGCAATGGAGGCCGTGAGGGGGCAGTGGGGGCCATGAGGGGCAATGGGAACCATGAGGGGCAATGGAGGCTGGGGGTGCAATGGGGACCACGAGGGGCAATGGAGGCTGGGGGTGCAATGGGGACCACGAGGGGCAATGGAGGCCATGAGGGGCAATGGGGACCATGAGGGGCAATGGAGGCTGTGAGGGGCAATGGGGACCATGAGGGGGCAATGGAGGCTGTGAGGGGCAATGGACCCCCCCGGTCTCCTCACCCTCGCCTGTTCCCTGTCTCCTCGCACACGCGCGTGCCCTCCCCATCCCTCCTTAAGCCTTTAATCCCTGCCAGGGAGGAGCTGGGAGCTGCAGGATGAGCCCTGGAGCTACCCCAGTGCCGATGGACCCCCCGAAACACCCCTAAACCCCCCCCAAACACCCCTAAACCCTCCCTAAGTACCCCTAACCCCCCCAATACACCTAAATACCCCTAAACACCCTCTAAACCCTCCCTAAATACCCAAAACACCCCCCCAAAACACCCCTAAATACCCCCAACCCCTTCCTAAATACCCCCAACCCCCCCAAAACACCCCCATTCCTCCCCTAAACACCCCTATACCCTCCCTAAGTACCCCAACCCCCCCAAACACACCTAAACACCCCCTAAACCCTCCCTAAATACCCCAACCCTCCAAAAATACCCCCATTCCTCTCCTAAATCTCCCAAAACACCCCTAAAAGCCCCGAAACACCCCTAACAACCCCCTAAACCCCCCTAAATACCCCCAAGTACCCCTAAATACCCCTAAAGCCCCCCTATATACCCCTAAGCCATCCCTAAATACCCCTCCAAAATACCCCATTCCTCCCCTAAATCCCCCCAAACCCCCCCAAATACCCCCCAATACCCCCCTCTCCATCCCCTAAATGCCCCCAAACCCCAACAAATCCCCTTGAAAGTCCCTCAGAACACCCCCCCCACCCCCCCATAGGTACCCTTTGGATACCCCATAACTACCAAGACACCCCCAAAATAACCCCCCCCCCACCCTGGCGCCCCATCACTATGTCAGAGTCAGAAGAGAATGGAGAGGGTGAGTTTGGGGTTGGGGGGGGGGGTAAGGGGGGATATTGGGGTCCTTAGGATGAAGGGGGGGAGGGTCTTTGAGGGTATGGGTCTATGGGATGTGGATGTTGGGGGCAGGTCTCTGTGTATCTGGGGGTGCAGGGTTGGGGGGGAGCTTTAGGATGGTTTTAGGGGGATCTTTGACTGGTTCCCCCCCTCCCCACAGGACCCCCCAAGGAGCTCCCACCCTTCCCCGACACCATGGGGCAGCCCCTGGGGTGGGCGGTGACTGAAGGCAATGGGGGTGCAGGGGGTGCAGGGACCCCCCCAGGGCATCGCCAGCGGCGCCCCCCCCACCCCAAGCACAAGGGGCAGGGCACTGGGGGGGTCCATCGCTCCCCCCGAGCCCTCTTCTGCCTCCGCCTCAACAACCCCATCCGCCGGGCAGCCATCAGCATCGTGGAGTGGAAGTGAGTTCCTATGGGGATGGGGGGGGGCAAAGTTGGGGGGCAGCCCTCCAACCTGCTGCCCCCCCACTTCCCCTTCACCCCAGGCCCTTTGACATCCTCATCCTCGCCACCATCTTCGCCAACTGCGTGGCCCTGGGGGTCTACATCCCATTCCCTGAGGATGACTCCAATGCTGCCAACCACAACCTGGTGAGGACCCCCCTAAAAAGAGGGGAACCCCCCAAAAAAGAGGGGAAACCCCCAAAGAAAAGAGGGGGATCCCCCCCCATTGCCTTCCCTTGGGCACAGTGTCCCTAAGCCTGTTCCCCTCACACACATGTGTGCCATTGCCATAAGCCTCTTATCCAGTGCCTGGATGGGTGCTAATCCTGGTTTAGCTGCTCTGGGATAAGGGAATGCTGGGAAGGGTTGAGGAGGGGGTCCCAATTCCACTGCTTCCCCCCCCTTGCCCCCCCCAAAAAACAGGGTGCTGGGAAGGATGGGGACCACCTTGGGGGGGGTCCTCAATGCTAATGTCCCTTGTGAAATGGGGTGCTGGGTTGAGCGGGGGTCCCCGAATTCCACTGTTTGTCCCCCCCATAAAACGGGGTGCTGGTGAGTTGAAGGGGGGGTCCTCAATGCCAATGTCCCTTGTGCCCCCCAGTAGAGGGGATGCAGGGAAGGATGTTGAGTTAAAGGGGGGGGGTCTCCACTTCCACTGTCCCCTGCTCCCCTGGGAAAGGGGTCCCCCCAGTGTGGAGAAGGGGGTTCTGTGCCACCCCCCTGACCCCCCCATGTGTGTCCCCCCTTTAGGAGCAGGTGGAGTACGTGTTCCTCATCATCTTCACGGTGGAGACCTTCCTGAAGATCATCGCCTATGGGCTGGTCCTGCACCCCAGCGCCTACATCCGCAATGGCTGGAACCTGCTCGACTTTGTCATTGTCATCGTGGGGTGAGGACTTGTCCCCAAATGGGGGGGGGGGATTCAGGTCTGATCCCCTCCCCCCCCCAAACTCCATAGAGACCCCCCCCAAACTCATCATGGTCCCTCCTTTACCCACCTCCACTCCCAACCCCCCTCTTTAGACTCCCCCCCCTCAAATCTACCACCTCAGATCCCCAAAAGCCCCACCCCACAATGAGCCCCCCCAACCTACTGGGGTCCCCTCATAGTGCCCCCCCTTAGAGTCCCCACTCTATGATGAGCCCCCCAAACTGCTTGTGTCCCATAGAACCCCCCCAAACTCATCTTGGTCCCCCATTTACCCACCTCCACTCCCAGCCCCACAAAACCCCCCTGGTCCCCCCCAAATCTACCACTGCAGACCCCCAACCCCCCCCTCCCCAAGCCTCCCCAACCCTATTGGGGTCCCTTCACTTATAGCCCCCCTCAATTCATTAAGGGGGTGTCCCCACACCCCTTCAGTGCCCCCCACCCCACATCTGTGTCCCCCCCAGGCTCTTCAGTGTCATCCTGGAGCAGGCATCCCATAAGCCCGGGGAAGCTCATCACATGAGTGGGAAACCGGGGGGCTTCGATGTCAAAGCTCTCCGGGCCTTCCGTGTGCTCCGACCCCTCCGCCTCGTCTCCGGTGTCCCCAGTGAGACCAATATGGGGTGGAAAGGGATCGAATTTGGGGGGTACCCCCCCCCCCATTAATATCTCTTCCCAAACCCACCCCATTTTCCTCCCCATAGGCCTCCACATCGTGCTCAACTCCATCATGAAGGCCATGGTGCCCCTGCTGCACATCGCGCTCCTCGTCCTCTTCGTCATCATCATCTACGCCATCATCGGCCTCGAGCTCTTCATCGGCCGCATGCACAAGACCTGCTTCTTCATTGGGTCTGGTAAGGGGGGGGGGGGATTCACCCCAACCCCTCCCACCCCCCCAAAAAAGGGGTCTGGGTCCCCCATTGAGGGCCTTCTAAATCCTAAGGCTCTAAGATCCCCTCTCAGCACCCCAGAAAGGGCACTTGGGCCCCCCAAAACCTTCAGACACCCCCCCAGCACCCCTAAACCACCGCCAGTGAGACCCTGAAACACCCTGAGACACCCCCCCTCCCCAAAGCACCTGAGTGCACCCAGCACCAAGACCCCACAGTGACAGCTCGGTAAGGGCACTTGGGCCAGGACCCCCACTAGCACCCCACTAAGGGCACTTGGCCACCCAATACCCTGAGACGCCCCCCCCCCCCAGCACCTGGGACCCCCCAGTAACTAAGGGCACTTGGTTCCCCTAACACCTTGAGCCCCCCGAAGCCCACTGGGACCCCCCCAACACTTGATCCCCCCCAGTAACACCCCAATAAGGGCACTTGACACCCCCCAACACCCTTAAAGACCCCCAATACCCTCAAGCTCCCCAACACCCTTAAAGAACCCCCAGGCCCCCCTCATAACCCTAAGCCCCCCTAACTCTCTATGAACCCCTCGATCTCCCCCAGCCCCACCATGTGGGGACCTCCAGTCCCTCAATCCCCCCCTGTAACACCCCAAGGACCACCCCTAAACCCCATTTTTGGGGTGCTACCCCCCCCTCATTTCCAGACCTGGAATCAGAGGACGACCCCTCCCCATGCGCGTTCTCGGGGCACGGCCGGGCCTGCCTGCAGAACAACACCGAGTGCCGGGGGCGCTGGGAGGGCCCCAATGGTGGCATCACCAACTTCGACAACTTCTTCTTTGCCATGCTCACCGTGTTCCAGTGCATCACCATGGAGGGCTGGACTGATGTCCTCTACTGGGTGAGACCCCCCCCGGTACCATGGGTTGGGTTGGAAGGAGCTGAGCATCACCCACGTCCAACCATGGGCACCTTGTTCCAACCTGGCCAGGATGGAGCATCCCAAACCTGCTCCATTCAACCCATCCCAGTGTCCTCATAGAGTCATGGAATGGGTTAGGTTGGAAGGACCTCAACATCATCCAGTTCAAACCATGGGCACCTTGCCCCAACCTGGCCAGGATGGAGCATCCCAAACCTGCTCCATTCAACCCATCCCAGTGTCCTCATAGAGTCATGGAATGGGTTGGGTTGGGAATGAGCTGAGCATCATCCAGGTCCAACCATGGGCACCTTGCTTCAACCTGGCCTCAAACACTCCCAGGGATGGAGGAGTCCAAATCTTCTCTATCCAACCCATTCCAGTGTCCTCATAGTCATGGAATGGGTTGGAAGGACCTCAACATCATCCAATGCAGACCATGGGCACCTTGCTCCAACCTGGCCAGGATGGCGCATCCCAAACCTTCTCCATCCAACCCATCCCAGTGTCCTCATGGGATCATGGATGGGTTAGGTTGGAAAAGACATTAAGATCACCCAGGTCCAACATTGGACCCTCCATCACCCCAAATCCCCTCCCCACAGATGCAGGATGCAATGGGCCACGAGCTGCCCTGGATTTACTTCGTCAGCCTCGTCATCTTCGGCTCCTTCTTCGTCCTCAACTTGGTGCTGGGGGTGCTGAGTGGGTGAGGGCAGCGTTAGCGTGTCCTTAGTGTGTTGTTAGCATGTTTGGGGGGGTGTTCACATGTATGATCCCCCCCCCTTAAAGGGAGTTCTCCAAGGAACGTGAGAAGGCCAAAGCCCGTGGGGACTTCCAGAAGCTGCGGGAGAAGCAGCAGTTGGAAGAGGACCTCCGGGGCTACATGGAATGGATCACCCAGGCCGAGGACCTGGAAGGGGATGAGGATGAGCACGAGAAGCACCGTAAAGTGGGGGGGTTTGGGGGAGGGGGGGGTTACCACGGGGGGGGGACCCCAAAAACAGTCCTCATCACCCCAACCCTACAGGCCTGACCGCTGAGGACCTGATGGGCAAGAGGAAGCCGCGCTTGAAGTGGCTGCGTCACACCAGTCACTCCACTGACACCCATGGTAATGGCCCCATTGGGGTCCACAGTGTTTTGGGGTGCCCCCCCCTCCGGTACAGGGTGCTGAGCTTTGTGACCCCCCCCCTTTTGCCCCCCCAGCCAGTCTTCCTGGTAGTGAGACCACATCAGTGAACACCGAGACAGTGGGTGAGGAGGAGGCACAACCGACGGCCTGTGACCGCTGCTTGTGAGCATGAGACCCCCCCGGAACCCCCATAGCCCTTGGGACCCCCCCCATAACCCCCGTGACTCTCCCATTCCACCCATGGCCTCCCCAATACCCCATAATAGCCTCCAGGACCACCCCCCTGTAACCTGCCATGACCCTTATGTCCCATCCATGCCTCCCTCCCATATCTTCCATAGACTCTGCCCCCCCCCCAATGCCCCTAGGACCCCCCATATTCCCCCTATCCTGACCCATCTGCCCAATACCACCCAGGACTCTCCCCATAACCCCCCTAACCCTCCCACCCAACCATAGCCCCCAGTACCTCCCTGGGGACACCAAATCCACCGTCTCTGTTGCCACCCCCCATGGGACCCCCCCCAAATTTTGGGGGGTAACTTTGTGCTTTTCCCTCCCTAGGGGCAAAATAACAAAGACTAAGTTCTGGTGAGTTGGGGATGGGGGGAGAATAAAATGGGGGGGGCACAACATAGTGGGGTCCCCCCACATCCCCTCCCTGACACCTCCCATCTGTATAACCCCCCCAAATACCCCCATGTCTGCCTGTCCCCCCCACCCCTCTGTACCCCCACATCCGCCTGTCCCCTCCACACCCCCTGTACCCCCATATCCCCCCTTTTCCCCCCCATTCCCCCCCCCACCAGGCGCCGCCTGCGCCGCCTGAACCGCCTGTGGCGCCGGCGCTGCCGCGGCGCCGTCAAATCCGTCTCCTTCTACTGGACCGTGCTGCTCCTGGTGTTCCTCAACACCCTCACCATCGCCTCCGAGCACCACGGGCAGCCCCCGTGGCTCACCCAGACGCAAGGTACAACCCTCACCGCCTGTCTTGACACACTGTAGGGTGCGGGGTGTCCTTAACCCCCACACTCAACCGCCTGTTCCCCCTCCGCCGCAGCTTACGCCAACAAGGCGCTGCTGTCGCTCTTCGCCGCCGAGATGGTGTTGAAGCTCTACGCCCTGGGGCCCGCCTGTTACTTCACCAGCTTCTTCAACCGCTTCGACTGTTTCGTGGTGTGCGGAGGGGTGTTGGAGACGGCGCTGGTGGAGCGAGGAGCCATGGAACCCTTGGGCATCTCCGTCCTGCGCTGCGTCCGCCTCCTGCGCGTCTTCAAAGTGACGCGGTGAGGGGACAGGCGGACGTTGTCACCCCTCCGGTACCCACCATCACCATCACCACAACCACCACCCCCGGTGTCACCCGTCAGGCACTGGGCGTCGCTGAGCAACCTGGTGGGCTCCTTGTTGAACTCCATGAAGTCCATCGCCTCCCTCCTGCTCCTGCTCTTCCTCTTCATCATCATCTTCGCCCTCCTGGGGATGCAGCTCTTCGGGGGACGCTTCAGCTTCGATGAGACCCAGACCAAGCGCAGCACCTTCGATACCTTCCCCCAGGCTCTGCTCACTGTATTCCAGGTACCCCCCCCCCCCACACCATGGTACCCCAATAGCACCCAGGACACCCCCCCCCCATCATCCAGGACCCTCCTGTCCAGCCATAGCACCCCAATAGCACCCAGAACCCCCCCCCCATCCTCCAGGACCCCCCTGTCCAGCCATAGCACCCCAATAGCACCCAGGACCCCTCCCCCCCCATCATCCAGACCCTCCTGTCTAGCCATGGTACCCCAATAGCACCCAGGACCCCCCCCCATCCTCCAGGACCCACCCCCCCCCCCAATAGCACCCCAAAAGCACCCAGGATCCCCCTCACCCCCCATATCCTGCAGGACCCTCCTGTCCAGCCATGGTACCCCAATAGCACCCAGGACCCCCCCCCCCATCCTCCAAGACCCCCCTGTCCAGCCGTGGTACCCCAATAGCACCCAGGACACCCCTCATATCCTCCAGGACCCCCCTGTCCAGCCGAGGTACCCCAATAGCACCCAGGACCCCTCCCTCCATCCTCCAGGAGCCTCCTGTCCAGCCGTGGTACCCCAATAGCACCCAGGACACCCCTCATATCCTCCAGGACCCCCCTGTCCAGCTGTGGTACCCCAATAGCACCCAGGACCCCACCCCCCCCATCCTCCAGGACCCTCCTGTCCAGCCATAGCACCCCAATAGCACCCAGGACCCCCCCACCCCCATCCTCCAGGACCCTCCTATCCATCCATAGCACCCCAATAGCACCCAGGACATCAAACACACCCCACACAGCACCTCGAGGCCGTGAGGGACCCCAATATCTGGAGGGGAGCCCCAAAGTCCACAGGGGGACCATGAAACGTGGGGGGGGACCCCAAACTGGTGGGGCCATCCAGAACCCATAGGGAACCCCAAAGCCTATAAGCCCCCATTGTCCCTGCAGGGTGATGCTGATGGAGGGAGATGGGAGGGGGCAGTGTACTGGGAGCACTGGGAGCACTGGGGGGGGGGGCAGGCTGAGGTTTTGGGGTCCCCTTTCCCTGCAGATCCTGACGGGAGAGGACTGGAACGCGGTGATGTACGATGGGATCATGGCCTATGGAGGCCCTGTCTTTCCTGGGATGCTGGTGTGCGTCTACTTCGTCATCCTCTTCATCTGTGGGAACTGTGCGTGCACTGGGGGGGACTGGGAATGGGGCATGAAGTAACTGGGAGGCACTGGGAATGAGAATGGGGTGACTGGGAATGAGAACATGGTAACTGGGAGGGACTGGGAGTGGAGCAGGGGGTAAATGGCAGACTGGGAATGGAACACAGGGTAAATGGGAACGACTGGGAATGGGGCAGAGGGTCACTGGGAGGGGCTGGGAACAGAGTATGGAGAAACTGGGAGGGAGTGCGAATGGAGCAGGAGGTAACTGGGAGAGACTGGGAATGAGAATGGGGTCACTGGGAGTGGGGGCCAGGGCACTGGGATGCACTGGGAGCACTGGGCTGCACTGGGATTCACTGGGAACACTGGGATGCACTGGGATTCACTGGGAACACTGGGATGCACTGGGAGCACTGGGATTCACTGGGAACACTGGGATTCACTGGGAACACTGGGATGCACTGGGAACACTGGGATGCACTGGGAACACTGGTTAACCTCCCCTCCCATAGACATCCTCCTCAACGTCTTCTTGGCCATCGCTGTGGACAACTTGGCCGATGGTGACAACATCAACTCGGGGGGGGACAAAAAGTGGGTCCCTTGTGTGTATGTGTGGGACACCCCAACATCTGGGTCCCTTTTGGGGGGGGTCACCCCAAAACCTGCCTCCTGGGGCTAACCCCCCCTTATCCATAGGGAAAAGGCTGGAGAGGTGGAAGCCACCACAGGGAGCCAGGATGTGAGCGTGAAGGTGAGTGTGAAACAGGGGGGTCCCCCCCATAAGTGTGCACCCCCCCACACCTACCCCACTTCCAACCCCCTTTTGCCCCCCCAAACTCCCATTTTGCCCCCCCCCCCCAGGTTGAAGGGGATCCTGCAGAGGAGGAAGAGGAGGATGAGGAGGGGGGGGGCAGTGAGGAAGGTCAGTGCCCGCCCCCCCACCAGGGGTCTCTATGGGGTCCCTATGGGGTGCCAGAGCCCAACACTGGGGTTCCTGCAGGGGATGAGGCCGGGGGGGAACGGGACAGCCTGGGGGGGCCCCGAGCGGAGCCCCCCGAGGAGCCCCCCCCCAAGGCCAAAGTGGCACCGATCCCCGAGGGCAGCGCCTTCTTCCTGCTCAGCAGCACCAACCCGTGAGCAATGGGGGGCAATGGGGACACTGGGAGGCACTGGGAGCACTGGGAACAATGGGATTGGAGGGATGGGGACACTGGGAGGAATGGGATTGGAGCACTGGGAGGAATGGGATTGGAGGGCTGGGGATGGAGACACTGGGAGCAATAGGATTGGAGGGAAGGGGATGGGGACACTGGGAGCAATGGGATTGGAGGGATGGGGACACTGGGAGCAATGGGATTGGAGCACTGGGAGCAATGGGATTGGAGGGCTGGGGATGGAGACACTGGGAGCACTGGGAGCAATGGGATTGATAGGATGGGGATGGCCACAATGAGAGCAAAACTGGGACAAACTGGGAGCACTATGTGATGGGATGGGAGCTGGTGGCCCCTTAAAGGCAACTGGGGTTGGGCTGGGGAACCTATGAGCACTGGGGAAGGGGGGGATATGGACACAGTGGAGCAACTGGGAGTGACTGGGAGTGACTGGGAGCACTGGTTTCAGGCTGCGGGTGCGCTGTCACGCCCTCATCCACCACCACATCTTCACCAACCTCATCCTGGTCTTCATCATCCTCAGCAGCGTCTCCCTGGCAGCCGAGGACCCCGTCCGCGCCCACTCCCCCCGCAACCACGTGCGATGCTGGGCACCCTGGGATGAACTGGGATGAACTGGGATGAACTGGGATGGGGGTGGGGGATAATTCACCCCTAAACCCACTGGGGACCCCTTGGGATGGGGTGCAGGGGGTGCTTGGAGCAGTCTGGGGGGGAGCTGAAGGGGTGGGGGGGGGCCATGGGGAGATGGGGGGTGTTGGGGGGGTGTTGGGGGGGTTGAGGTCACCCCATTTCCCCCCGCCCCCCCAGATCTTGGGCTACTTTGACTACGCCTTCACCTCCATCTTCACTGTGGAGATCCTGCTCAAGGTGCGCTATGGGGGGGATTTGAGGGTCCCCCCTCCTGTTCTGGGGTCTTGGAAGGGGAGGACCCCCCCCTTGATGTTTGGGTTCGGGGCCTCCCCCAGATGACGGCGTTTGGCGCCTTCCTGCACAAAGGCTCCTTCTGCCGCAACTGGTTCAACCTCCTGGACCTGCTGGTGGTCAGCGTCTCCCTCATCTCCTTCGGCATCCAGTGAGCTGGGGGGGGGCACTGGGAGGCACTGGGAGTGCTGAGATCACCAATGGGGGCACTGGGAGCAGCGCTGGGGACATTGGGATCACCAATGGGGGCACTGGGAGCAGCGCTGGGGACATTGGGATTACCAATGGGGGCACTGGGAGGCACTGGGAGCGCTGTGATCACCAATGGGGGCACTGGGAGTCGTGCCGGGAGCGCTGAGATCACCAATGGGGGCACTGGGAGTAATGCTGGGGACACTGGGACCACCAATGGGGGCACTGGGAGCAGTGCTGGGGACATTGGGATTACCAATGGGGGCACTGGGAGGCACTGGGAGCACTGAGATCACCAATGGGGACACTGGGAGCATCACTGCGGCAATGGGAGCATCACTGGGGACACTGGGAGGCACTGGGAATGTTACTGGGAGGCACTGGTGTCCCCCTGCAGCTCCAGCGCCATCTCCGTGGTGAAGATCCTGCGGGTCCTGCGCGTCCTCCGGCCCCTTCGAGCCATCAACCGTGCCAAAGGCCTCAAGGTGCCGCACTGGGAGCACTGGGAGGGGCACTGGGAGCACTGGGTGTGTGTGTGTGTGGTCCTGACGGCCTCATCCTACCCCCAGCACGTGGTACAATGCGTCTTCGTGGCCATCCGCACCATTGGGAACATCATGATCGTCACCACACTGCTACAGTTCATGTTCGCCTGTATCGGGGTACAGCTCTTCAAGGTAGGGGGTACCCCTCCTAAACCCCCCTTAAGGGGTCCCCAACACCCCAACCTTGAGGGGTTGGGGGTCCCCAAACCCGCTCCCCCCCATTGACCCCCCAAAACCTCCACAGGGCAAGTTCTACAGCTGCACCGATGAGGCCAAACACACCCCCGGGGAGTGCAAGTGGGTCCTGACCCCCCCAAACTGACCCCCCGGGTGTGGGTGTGAGTGAGGGTGTAGGTACAGTCGGAGTGGGGGTATTGAGCGTGTATATTGAGTGTAGGGTGTGTACAGCCACAGTGCGGCTGTAGTTCTGACTGTAGGCTAAGTGTGAGTGTAGCTTGAGGCCCAGTGTAGGCTGAGTGTGAGTGCGGGTGTAGCTTCAGTGTGACTGTAGTTTGAGGGTGTAGTTTGGGGCTACAGTGGTGTGAGTGTAGGCACGAGAGTGGGTGCGAGTGTGTGGAGGCTGGGTGTAGTTGTGGGGCTGTAGTTGTGTGTGAGTACAGGCTGAGTGCGGGTGTAACCCAAGTGAGAGTTTGGAGTGAGTACCCCTAAATGTGAGTGTTGGCCCCATCCCTTTGGTGTCCCCATCCCCTTTGGTGTCCCCATCCCTGTGGTCTCCCCATCCTCTTTGGTGACCCCATCCCTTTGGTCTCCCCATCCCTTTGGTCTTCCCATCCCCTTTGGTGTCCCCATCCCTTTGGTCTCCCCATCCCCTGTGGTGTCCCCATCCCTTTGGTCTCCCCATCCCTTTGGTGTCCCCACCCCTTTGGTCTCCCCACCCCTTTGGTGTCCCCATCCCCTTTGGTGTCCCCATCCCTGTGGTGTCCCCATCCCTTTGGTGTCCCCATCCCTTTGGTGTCCCCACCCCTTTGGTGTCCCCATCCCTTTGGTCTCCCCATCCCTTTGGTCTCCCCATCCCTTTGGTCTCCCCATCCCCTTTGGTCTCCCCATCCCTTTGGTCTCCCCATCCCTTTGGTGTCCCCACCCCTTTGGTGTCCCCATCCCTTTGGTCTCCTCATCCCCTTTGGTGTCCCCATCCCTGTGGTGTCCCCATCCCAGGGGCACATTCCTGGTGTACAAGGACGGGGACGTGTCCCACCCGTCGGTGCGGGAGCGCCTGTGGCACAACAGCGACTTCAACTTCGATAACGTGCTGGCGGGGATGATGGCTCTCTTCACCGTGTCCACCTTCGAGGGGTGGCCTGCGTGAGTGTCCCCCCCCTTAGCACCCACACCCCCAACTTGAGGGGTCCAGCACCCCCCTCCATGCACCCATCCCTTTGGTGCCCTCATCCCTTTGGTGCCCCCATCCCTTTGGTGTCCCCATCCCTTTGGTGTCCTCATCCCTTTGGTGCCCCCATCCCTTTGGTGTCCTCATCCCTTTGGTGTCCCCATCCCTTTGGTGCCCCCATCCCTTCGGTGTCCTCATCCCTTCGGTGTCCTCATCCCTTTGGTGTCCCCATCCCCTTTGGTGTCCCCATCCCCTTTGGTGTCCCCATCCCTTTGGTGCCCCCATCCCTTTGGTGTCCTCATCCCTTCAGTGTCCTCATCCCTTTCGTGTCCTCATCCCTTTGGTGTCCTCATCCCTTTGGTGTCCTCACCCTTTTGGTGTCCCTTTCCTTTTGGTGTCCCCATCATTTTGGCATCCCCATCCTTTTGGTGTCCCCATCCTTTTGGTGCCCCCATCCTTTTGGTTTCCTCATCCCTTTGGTGTCCTCATCCTTTTGGTGTCCCCATCTTTTTGGTGTCCCCATCCCTTTGGTGTCCCCATCCCTTTGGTGCTCCCATCCCTTTGGTACCCCCATCCCTTTGGCATCCCCAACCCCACCGCCCCCTCAGCCTGCTGTACAAAGCCATCGACGCCAACGCCGAGGACCAAGGCCCCATCTACAACTACCGGGTGGAGATCTCCATCTTCTTCATCGTCTACATCATCGTCATCGCCTTCTTCATGATGAACATCTTCGTGGGCTTCGTCATCATCACCTTCCGGGCACAGGGCGAGAGCGAGTACCGCAACTGCGAGCTGGACAAGAACCAGGTACCACCACCATCACCACCACCATCACCATCACCCTTTGTCACCCGCTGGTGGTGGCCCTTTGGGGACCTTGTCCTGGTGACAGAGGCAGTGCGTGGAGTACGCTCTGAAGGCACAACCGCTGCGCCGCTACATCCCCAAGAACCGGAACCAGTACCGGGTGTGGGCCATGGTCAACTCCACCGCCTTCGAGTACATCATGTTCGTCCTCATCCTCCTCAACACCATTGCTTTGGCTGTGCAGGTTGGGAACGGGGGGACACACACACCCCAAAAGGGGGGTGTTGGGGGCATTAAGGGGGGGGTAAGGACCTGTTTTTACCCCCCCTTTCCAAAGCACTATGAGCAGTCAAAGCCCTTCAACTACGTGATGGATCTACTGAACATGGTGTTCACGGGGCTCTTCACCGTGGAGATGGTGCTCAAGATCATTGCCTTCAAACCACGGGTAAGGGGGTGATGGAAAGTGGGGGGCAGGCTACACATGGGGGGTGTCACACCAAGGTGTCCCCCCTAACCTACCCCAGCACTACTTCTGTGATGCCTGGAACACCTTTGATGCCCTCATCGTGGTGGGGAGCGTTGTGGACATCGCTGTCACTGAGGTCAATGTGAGTCACCCAGTGCCATGGTGGGGGGGGTCTGGATGTTGTGTTGGGTCCATGGTGTCCCCCCCACACCATATCCATGTCCCCCCCATCTCCATCCTCCTCACCCACATCTCTCTATCTCCATCCATCGCCACCATCACTCCTGCGCGCACCAGAACGGGGGGCACGTCGGCGAGGTACGGGGCTGGTGGGGGGTGTCTTTATGGGGCGGGGGTGTATCTGTGATTTTGGGGTCCCCCTGACCCCCCCCCCCCATTGCCCTCCCTATTGCAGAGCTCCGAGGACAGCTCCCGCATCTCCATCACCTTCTTCCGCCTCTTCCGGGTGATGCGCTTGGTGAAGCTGCTCTCCAAGGGCGAGGGCATCCGCACCCTGCTCTGGACCTTCGTCAAGTCCTTCCAGGTGACACCTATAGGGGGGACCCCCCCCCCCCAAGTCCATTTACACCCATTTAACCCCCCTTTCACCCCCCTTTTTGCCCCCCCCCCAGGCCCTGCCCTACGTCGCCCTCCTCATCGCTATGATCTTCTTCATCTACGCCGTCATTGGCATGCAGGTAAGACCCCCACCCCATTTATCCTATTATCCACCCCCATTTAGCCTATTGTCCCCCCCCTTATCCTATTGAACCCCCCCTTATCCTATTGTCCCCCCCTTATCCCATTGTGTCCCCCCCCCAAAGACCTTTGGGAAGGTGGCACTGCAGGATGGGACCCAGATCAACCGCAACAACAACTTCCAGACCTTCCCCCAGGCCGTGCTGCTGCTCTTCAGGTGGGAATGGGGGGATCCTATGGGATCCGGGGGGGCCATACAGGAGATGGGGGGGGTTTCTTTGGGATCCAGGGGGGTTTCTGGGGGCCCTTATGGGAGATGGGGGGGTCTCTGGGTCTTCCTATGAGATCCATGGGGGAACGCCATAGGATCCCCATGGGCTCTCTATGGTGTCTAGGGCATCCCCATGCCTCCCCCATGGGTCGTATAGAGCCGCTGTGGGGCCACAGGGGCCCTATAGGGATCCTTAAACTGTGTCAGGTCCAGAAGGGGTCACCCTGAGGTCCCTATGGGTCACCCTATGGGGCTCCCTCAGCCCCACTCTGTGTGTGTGTGGGGTGCCCATGGGGCAGTGCGGATGTGTGGGGCCGCAGGTGTGCCACGGGGGAGGCCTGGCAGGAGATCATGCTGGCCAGCCTCCCTGGCAAGCGCTGCGACCCGGAGTCGGATGCAGGCCCCGGTGAGGAGTTCACCTGCGGCAGCAACTTCGCCATCGCCTATTTCATCAGCTTCTTCATGCTCTGCGCCTTCCTGGTGAGCCCCACAGCTCTGCCCCATAGCCGCAGCCCTGCCCCACATCAAGGGGACCCCCTCCCCAACACCCCATTGCTGTCCCCACATCCCCTCCCCAGATCATCAACCTCTTTGTGGCCGTCATCATGGACAACTTCGATTACCTCACCCGGGACTGGTCCATCCTGGGCCCCCATCACCTCGATGAGTTCAAACGCATCTGGTCCGAGTACGACCCCGCAGCCAGGTCTGGCAATGGGACCCCCTCATGGGGTGCGGGGTGACCCCCATATCCAATCACCCCCCCCCATCAAAACCCTGTGACCCCCATCCCTGCCCCATAGAGGCCGCATCAAGCACCTGGACGTGGTGACGCTGCTGCGCCGCATCCAACCCCCGTTGGGCTTTGGGAAGCTCTGCCCGCACCGCGTCGCCTGTAAGGTCAGTGTGTGGGGCTCACCCCACATCGGGGGACATGGGGGGGGTTCAATGGGGTGCTCATAACCCCCTCCCCACAGCGCCTGGTAGCCATGAACATGCCCCTGAACTCGGATGGCACCGTCACCTTCAACGCCACCCTCTTCGCCCTGGTCCGCACCTCCCTCAAGATCAAGACAGAAGGTTGGGGGGCATGGGGGGGTCCATGTGGGGCAGCCCCATATTCCACGTGCTATGGGGCAGCCCCATATCCCATGCTCCTCCTCCCATTCCCAAAGGGAACCTGGATGTGGCCAACAAGGAGCTGCGCGCCGTGGTCAAGAAGATCTGGAAGAGGACAAAGCCCAAGTTGCTGGATGAGGTCATCCCCCCACCGGAGGGTGAGCGGTGATGTGGGTCCCCCCCACCCCATAGCTGCCCCACAAGTGCTGCTGACCCCATTCCCCCCCCCCCCCCCCAGAGGAGGAGGTCACCGTAGGCAAGTTCTACGCCACCTTCCTGATCCAGGATTACTTCCGCAAGTTCCGGAGGCGGAAGGAAAGGGGGATGCTGGGTCCCAATACTGGGCCCAGTAATGAGTGTGCGCTGCAGGTGGGTGCCTGGGGGTCGGGTCCCTGGGGGGGGTGGGTGCGTGACACCCCCTTACCCCCATTGGCCCCCTATTGCCCATTTCCCCCCTATTCTCCCCTTTTCCCCCCTGGTTTCCCCCTATTCCCGCTATTGTCCCATTACCCCCATATTCTCCCCATTTCCCCACTCTTTCCCCCCATTCCCCCCTATTCCCCTCTATTTCCCCCATATTCTCCCCATTTCCCCGCTATGTCCCCCTTTTTCCCCCTATTCTCCTCTATTTCCCGTATTGCCCCATATTCTCATTTCCCTCCATTCCTTTTCCCCCATTTCTCCCCTTATTCCCCCCTATTTTGCCTTATTCTCCCTCTATTGCCCCATATTCTCCCAGTTTCCCCCTATTTCCCCCTTTTTAACTCCCATTCTCCTCTATTCCCCTCTATTACCCCTGTTGCCCCATTACCTCCGTTGCTCCATTACCCCCTATTCCCCATTTCCCCCAATATCCCCTTATTCCCCCTTTTTAACCCCCATTCCCCTCTATCCCCCCCATTCTCCCTATTGCCCCTTTACCCCCCTATTCCCCATTCCCCCCATATTCTCCCAATTTCCCCTTATTCACCCTTTTTAACCCCCATTTCCCCCATTCCCCTCTATCCCCCCTATTCCCCCTATTGCCCCATTACCCCCCTATTCCCCATTTCCCCCATATTCTCCCAATTTCCCCTTATTCCCCCTTTTCAACCCCCCTTTCCCCCATTCCCCTCTATCCCCCCCTATTCCCCCTATTGCCCCATTACTCGCCTATTCCCCATTTCCCCCATATTCTCCCAATTTCCCCTTATTCACCCTTTTTAAACCCCATTTTCCCTCATTCCCCTCTATCCCCCCTATTCCTCCTATTGCCCCATTACCCCCCATTCCCCATTTCCCCCATATTCTCCCAATTTCCCTTATTCCCCCTTTTTAACCCCCATTCCCCTCTATCCCCCCTATTCCCCCTATTGCCCCATTACTCCCCTATTCCCCGTTTCCCCCATATTCTCCCAATTTCCCCTTATTCCCCCTTTTTAACCCCCATTCCCCTCTATCCCCCCATTCTCCCTATTGCCCCATTACCCCCCTATTCCCCATTTCCCCCATATTCTCCCAATTTCCCCCCTATTCCCCCCTTTTTAACCCCATTCCCTTCTATCCCCCCCATTCTCCCTATTGCCCCATTACCCCCCTATTCCCCATTTCCCCCATATTCTCCCCATTTCCCCCTATTCCCCACTTTTCAACCCCATTCCCCCCCAGGCCGGGCTGCAGACCCTGCAGGCGCTGGGCCCCGAGATGCGGCGGGCGCTGAGCTGCGACCTCGAGGGGGAGGACGCTCAGAACGGCCCCGTCGAGGAGGAAACGCGGACCTACGCCGTAAGCCCCGCCCCTTTCACAGGCCACGCCCCCTCTGACCACGCCCCTTTCCCTATTGGTTGGCTCAGGCCCCGCCCACAAGCCCCACCCGTTTCCCCGCAGGCTCCCGAGGCGCTCTATGGCTCCGCCCCCAGCCCCCCCACTCCGCCCCCCCCCGGGCCCGGCTGCGACGCCCCCGATGGGGAGGACCCTGCCCCCCTCCTCAGCAGGTACTGGGGTGAGGGGGGGAATACCCCAATGTTGGGGTCCCCCCCCCACTGTGGGGGTCCCCAATGGGGCAGAGGGGTCCCAACGGCCTCTGTGCAGGCGGCGCTCGGATGGGGGGGTCCAGGAGGAGCCGCCCCCCCTTGCAGAGGACGCAGAGGAGCCGGGGGGGGACCCTGGGGCCGGCAGCCATGAGGAGGACTTGGAGGGCTCAGCCCCACGGCGCCGGGCCAGGGACAGGTACCGGGGCCCCCATCTCCCATCGCTGCACTGGGGGGGGTCCAGGACCGGCCCCTGATGCTCTGTCCCATCCCCAGGCTATGGGGGCCCACAGAGGGGCCGCGGGGGGGGTCCCTGCCATTGCCCCCCCGGCACTTCGCCCTCCACAGCGAAGGGCAGCAGCTCAAGAGGCGCCGGCTCCTCCCGCCCACCCCTGCAGGTAGAGATGGGGGGGACGCACAATGGGGTAAAGGGGGTGCCCATAGGGGCAGGGCCTGACCCACTGCACCCCATAGGGAGGAAGCCGTCCTTCACCATCCAGTGCCTGCGGCGCCAGGGGAGCTGTGAGGATGAGCCCATCCCGGGGACCTACAACCCTGCCCGGCCCCAGGTACGGCAGGAGCCCAACCATGGCTCCCTTTGGATTGGGTCTCCTATGGGGTGGGAATGAGCTGAGCATCATCCAGGTCCAACCCTTGGATTGGGTTTCCTATGGGGTGGGAATGACCTGAGCATCATCCAGGTCCAACCCTTGGATTGGGTCTCCTATGGGGTGGGAATGAGCTGAGCATCATCCAGGTCCAACCCTTGGATTGGGTCTATGGGATGGGAATGACCTGAGCATCACCCAGGTCCAGCCCTTGGATTGGGTCTCCTATGGGATGGGAATGACCTGAGCATCATCCAGGTCCAGCCCTTGGATTGGGTCTCCTATGGGGTGGGAATGACCTGAGCATCATCCAGGTCCAGCCCTTGGATTGGGTCTCCTATGGGGTGGGAATGACCTGAGCATCATCCAGGTCCAACCCTTGGATTGGGTCTCCTATGGGGTGGGAATGACCTGAGCATCATCCAGGTCCAACCATGGGCACCTTGCTCCAACCTGGCCAGAATGGAGCATCCCAACCCTTCTCCATCCAACCCATCCCAGTGTCCTCATGGGGCAGAACTTCCTTAGATCCAATCTAAACGTTCCCTGTTCCAGTTTAACCCCATCACCCCCAGTCCCTGATGGACCCCCCCCTCCAGCATCCCTGTATCCCCCCCTTCACACCCTGGAAGCTGCTGTGCCTGCTCCCACCCTGTCTCCATACGGGACCTACTGGATCAGCCTCCTCCGCGCCCTCCTTCCATTGGGAACACCCGCTTTTCCCTATGGGATCCCCCCATTAACCCCCCCCCTTTCCATTCACCCCATAGGGCTCCGGTAGCTCCGAGACCTGGCGCCGCGGCTCCTCGCACGCCTGGGGCACAGCGCCCCCCCGTGGCCACGTCCTGTACGCGCCGCTGCTCCTGGTGGAGGAACCGGGGGCCGGGGGGAGCCTCCCCCCCTTATCCCGATGGATCCTGCGGGACCGAGGCGATCCCGACCCCGGAGGGCTCCGCTTGCGGCCCCGCGGCTCTGCCGACAGCCTGGTGGAGGCGGTGAGTACAGGGGGGGGGGAAGAAAAGGGGGTTTTCCACTAAAAAATGGGAGGTTTCTGTCCAAACCGGGCAAAAAAGGGGTTTTGTCACAAAAAGGGATTGGTATAAAAAAACACACCAAAAGAAGGAAAATACACACAAAAAAAATCAGAACATAAAAGGGGTTTTCCTTAAAAAAGGGGAAGTTTTGCCCTCAGAAAAGGGAGCTGCCCTCCATCTAGTGATGGGATTCAACGGGAACAGGGAACGTTTAGCCTGGATCTAAGGAAGCTCCCCCACCATGAGGACACTGGAATGGGATGGGATGGGATGGAGGAGGTTTGGGGTGCTCCATCCCGGCCAGGTTGGAGCAAGGTGCCCATGGTTGGACCAGGATGAAGCTGAGCTCCTCCCAACCCAACCCATTCCATGAGTCTGATTGCATTTGCCTCAAAAAGAGGAGTTTCTCCTCAAAAACGTTTGAAGGATTAGGAAAAAATCACCAAAAAGGTGGATTTTTCCTCAAAAAAAGGGGGGCATTTTCCTTGGGAAAAAGGATACCTCCAAAATTGAGGTTTTCCTCCCCAAAATAGAAGAGTTTTCCTCAAGAAAATGAAAGGTTCCACTCAAACGGGAGTGATTGGTCCTGAAAATAGTAAAAAGAGGAGGTTTTTCCCCAAAAAGGGCTGCAGCATCCCTGCACTCAGCACCATCCATCCCTTAGGTCCCCATAGGGATGCTCAGCCCCATCCATCCCTTAGGTCCCCATAGGGATGCTCAGCCCCATCCATCCCTTAGGTCCCCATAGGGATGCTCAGCCCCGTCCATCCCTTAGGTCCCCATAGGGATGCTCAGCCCCATCCATCCCTTAGGTCCCCATAGGTCCATCCCTTAGGTCCCCATAGGGATGCTCAGCCCTCCATCCCTTAGGTCCCCATAGGGATGCTCAGCTCCATCCATCCCTTAGGTCCCCATAGGGATGCTCAGCACCGTCCATCCCTTAGGTCCCCATAGGGATGCTCAGCCCCATCCATCCCTTAGGTCCCCATAGGGATGCTCAGCTCCGTCCATCCCTTAGGTCCCCATAGGGATGCTCAGCCCCATCCATCCCTTAGGTCCCCATAGGGATGCTCAGCCCCATCCATCCCTTAGGTCCCCATAGGGATGCTCAGCTCCATCCATCCCTTAGGTCCCCATAGGGATGCTCAGCCCCATCCATCCCTTAGGTCCCCATAGGGATGCTCAGCCCCATCCATCCCTTAGGTCCCCATAGGGATGCTCAGCCCCATCCATCCCTTAGGTCCCCATAGGGATGCTCAGCCCCATCCATCCCTTAGGTCCCCATAGGGATGCTCAGCCCCGTCCATCCCTTAGGTCCCCATAGGGATGCTCAGCCCCATCCATCCCTTAGGTCCCCATAGGGATGCTCAGCCCCATCCATCCCTTAGGTCCTCATCTCGGAGGGGTTGGGGCTCTTCGCCCGGGACCCCAAGTTCGTGGCCGTGGCCAAGCGCGAGCTCGCTGACGCATGCGCGATGACGCTGGACGAGCTGGACAGCGCAGCCGCGGATCTGCTCACGCGGCGCCGCCCCCCCCCGCCCCCACCCCTCTACAGCGACGAGGAGGCCCCGCGGGGGGGAGGGGCCGAGGAGGAGCTCGGGGACGAGATGGTTTGTGCGGGGGCGGGGTGAGCACATGGGGGGGGGGAAGGGGGGGTTTCAGTGGGTTTTAACCCCAAAAAGAGGGTTTTATGGAAGGAAAAGGTTGGGGGGGAAATGGATCGAAAAAGGGTTTTTTTCAGCAAAAAAAGTGGGGTTTCTTGTCAAAAGTAGACAAAAACCAGGTTTTTAATCAAAATAAATGGTTTGGGGTGGGAAATGGACTGAAAAAAGGGTTTTTTTCAGCAAAAAAAGTGGGGTTTCTTGCGAAAAATAGACAAAAATCAGGTTTTTAATCAAAATAAATGGTTTGGGGTGGGAAACGGACCGAAAAAGGGTTTTTTTTTCAGCAAAAAAAGTGGGGTTTCCAAAAAACAAAAACCAAACAAAAAAATTGGGGGGGAAATGGATCGAAAAAGGGTTTTTTTCAGCAAAAAAAGTGGGGTTTCTTGTCAAAAGTAGACAAAAACCAGGTTTTTAATCAAAATAAATATTTTGGGGTGGGAAATGGACCAAAAAAAGGTTTTTTTTCAGAAAAAAAGAGTGGGGCTTCTTGCGAAAAATAGACAAAAATCAGGTTTTAAATCAAAATAAATGGTTTGGGGTGGGAAACGGACCAAAAAAGGATTTTTTCAGCAAAAAAAAAGTGGGGTTTCTTGTCAAAAACAGACAAAAATCAAATTTTTAATCAAAATAAATGGCTTGGGGTGGGAAATGGACCAAAAAAGGGGGGCTTTCTTGTCAAAAGGAGACAAAAGGTGTTTTCCTTAAAAAATGGGATTTTGACTCAAAACAAATGGTTTGATATGGGAAAGGGACAAAAAAAGGGTGGTTTTCCTCAAAAAAAAGATTTTCACTCATAATAAATGGAAGGTTCGGTGTGGAAATGGACAGAAAAAGGTTTTTTTTCATCAAAACTGTGATTTTTTCCTCAAAACAAATGATTTGGGGTGCGAAATTGAGAGAAAAAGGGATTTTTCCTCAAAAAAGTTGGGAGTTTCTTGTCAAAAGTAGACAAAAAAGGGTTTTTATTAATCAAAGCAAATGGTTTGGTGTGGGAAATGGCCAAAAAAAAGGGGTTTCCCCTCAAAAATGGGATTTTTACTCCAAATAAATGGCATTTTTTTTTTGTGAAAAACGGACAAAAAGGGGCTTTCTTCGGGAAAAAGGAAGTTTTTCCTCAAAATAAAGACGGTTTTAATCAAAAAGCGCTGGTGTTAAAACAAACACACCAAAAAGGAGCAAACCACAGAAAATGGGCTTAAATTAATGATGGAAGAGTTTTTTTCCCTATAAACCGCAAGTTTTTCTTTAGGAAATGCTTCAAAAATAGAGGGATTTACCTCAAAAATAATTATTTATCCTTACATATATTTTACCTTAGAAAAGAGGGGTTTTTACCTCAAAAAAGGCACATTTTACCTCACAGAGGAGCGTTTCACCTCAACAGAGCATTTGTCATCTCACACAGAGAAACTGACCTCAAAAAAGGTGAATTTCACCTTGAAAAAGTGGGCTTTTACCCCAAAAAGGACGTTTTTACCCCCAAAAAGGCGGTTTTTTACCCCACGGAGGCGGAGGGGCGGAGGACGCGCTTTAACCCCGCCCCTCGCCGCCCTCCCATTGGTGGAGTTCGCAACCAATAGGGAAGCGCCTCAGCTGCCATCGCCACGCCCCCATGCCCCGC